TTAATGTTGAAAGACATTGGCAAATTGAGAACTCCTAACCACTGGCGACAATAGAGTCGCAGGTCGATATCAAAACCATAATCTTCTTCCTAAGTAGCACGTAAAACGTGATATTTTTTTTTTTTTTTTTTCAGTTCTACATTATTAAGTTTGACGATTCAATCTTTTGTCTCTGCAGAATTCATTTTCGTAAGGTTCAATAAATAAAACAAAATCATTTTCGCGTTTTTTTCGGATCGAGGCTTTTACAAAATTACAAATGGTGCAAAAATTAGACTGTATCGTTGTTCGATGTTATTATGGTTTCTCTTTGATCTACTGCTGGATACGAATATATCATTTTCCTAAATTCAACAAAAAAAACATTAATTTTTGTACGATTTTACAACTTTTTAAAGGTAGAAGTTTTTTGTTTGTTACTTGATTAAAGTTGGACCAATGAATGAACAAGTTGCTTTGATTCCAAGTGATCCATAATGAAAGGTATAACTCACTCTCACTATATGAAAAAATAAATTTAAAAATACATATATATATATATATATATATGTACATATGTTCTTCGTTTTCTAAATTTTACTTCTGTATCTCATATTTTGGTACGAACGGGGTCCATTCCATATTTGGGGCTCCTAACTTTTAAGCTATATTCTTCCTCACTCAAACGGGAAATAATATTTTGTTACTACACATTTGTATAATAAATTAATTTGAGATTCACAGCATGGAGATAAGAGGAAACGTGTAAGATCAGATATTTTTGTTCATTTGTTCGCATTGATGTTTACCAGACGGTCCATCGTTATCGATGATTATAATCAACAAAAATCCAAACAAATGAACATCTTAATCAGGCCTTAATGATTTCAATATTTCATCATCTAACTAGATAATGTTTAGTACTGTATATTGGACGTGGCGTATTATAAGAAAAGAAATCGATTTTAAGAACAAAATGTTTAATTAATAAAAAAAAAGATATTAGTAAGAAATTTTCTTTTTTGGGCCAAAGTAAGAAATCTACTTTTTTTAACATATTAATATACACTAATTAAGAAAAAAAGCCTGGAGTTGTCGTAAAAAAAAAAAAAATGCCTGGAGCAACTTTATACATCGAATGAGCAACCACCGATGGAAGAACATGGTCATCTAGTGACACCACTTCTAGTGTTATTGAAGTTGTTAGTACTTAGTATCATTCATTATATGTCATAGCTATAATTATTATTATCATTATTGCATTATTTGAAACTAACATATGAATATATTGAGTGGATATGATTCTTTTTGATTCGTTGCAGGTTTGTATATATATATGATAATAAATTAACATGATAGCTTTAGATTTTATTTTATTTTGGTATATGAGATAGTTTGAGATTTTGCTAACTAACACTGTTTACCTTGAACAGCCATTTATATTAATACATATTAAGACGTAAACCATTTTTCCAAGCGGATATTGAAATTCATAAGCTAGTACTCAATCTCCTCGGCCATAATGAAGTCTTTGGATGATACGGAGAAATAATATCTTCATCGTGATTGCAATATGGTATACATGTAATGTAATGTTTAATGATTAGTGAGTTAGTGTTACTATCTATAAATCAAGTTAAGATTATCCAGTTATAATTGTGAACAAGTACTCTCCATACTGCATATTTTATATATTAGGAGATTTTTTTGGCTTTTGAAATGTGACCAGTTATAATAATTGACCGTAGTTATGTCTTCATCGATCCTCACCTCACCTGCTCTAACTATAACTAATGATGTCTAAAAAGTCACATGCCGTGTACAACAAAACATCATCTACCTTATGTGCCTTTGAATAATATACATAAAGGTATCTTATTCAAAGAGTAGGTCAAAAAGGTAATGTAATTAATAGTAAATGATGTACTGTGAAGAAATTATATCCAATTTATTCTTGATGAAGAGTATAAATACAGAAACGAAAGAAATTGCCGACAAGTTAAGATTCTAGTGGCTAGCATATATAGGTGGAATCATGAAAAAAGTAAAATTATTCACAATACAATGGTGAAATGATAAATAAAAAACGACGATCATATGATGACTGATACGTCATATATAGAAACAGTGTGGAACAACAAAATAAAATGAAAATGGAAGGTTAGATAGTTGCAGAATTGCATTGTCAAGTATATGTGTTCTGTTCTTAAAAAAAACAGTACGTATATATATGTGTGTTCTAAGAATAGTTTTTGTAAACTATGCATGTTCTAAGTATAGTTATATCCTGTCTTTAATTTCTAATATATAAATACAATTATACATCATATCAAAGTTGTGAAATAAAATTATGTATTTTAAAAAACATTATATGAAAAAGAAATCAAAAACATTTGGATTATATGATCGGGACATTGTCGTAACGTAGTTGAGACGTAAATAACCTAATTCGATTTATTTTATATGTTTCCCACAATTTATTACACGTAGCAATGCAGCTTTAATTTGTTTTTAATTCAGCCAATATGTGTATATGTAATGTCTCCAGATGGCGCAAACCTAACTACTCAGTATTAAATAAAGCCAAATTGATATTGATTTTGATCATTGCGGTGATTGGAATTCCACAATTAGACCAGACTTTATTGTAGCAAATCAGCAACTAGCATTAAAGTAGTATAAAGTTAACAAAATATCAGTAGTTAATGTATGCTAATTAATCTATTAACATAAAGTTTCATCTTTTTTTTGTCAACATAAAGTTTCATCGAAAAGGAGAAGTATGCTAGTAATTTTAGAGCTTATACCGCATGTTTTACTGTATAACAATAAGTTATAGCTGCAGGCAATAAGCAATCATTATATTTGCTACTTCAATTAATTTAACGAATAAAGTGTAGATCCCTTTGTTACTTGTGAGTGAAGTATGTGTCCTATGCAAAGTGAACAAATTAATCTAATTATATATTCTTCGTCTTTACTTTCTATTTCAATATAACATCACTTGTTATGTATGTAGGTACCGGTGAATTTGTACATATATTTATGTAAATCACTAATTCAAATCATTAAATTAATTTATGCTTACATGTGACAGTATAAATCTGCAAGTTGCAACAATGTTTTAAAGCTAGCTACATTTTTGTGGTCACACTTTATTTTTAAACAATAATAATAATAATCATCGTAAAGATGTCTTTATCCAGTGCTGAACCAAAAAATAACAATTGTACGTTAGATATCGGATTCAATTTTCTGGAAAAAAAGTTTCTAACGGATTGTGTATTCAATCTTCTTAAAAATTCAGCGTGACATAGGTGAACTTTTATGTCATATTTTTTCTTGGGACGATATCATGAATTGCAATACGAAAAGCGAATTATTTTATTTGTTGTTTGAATCAGTTTCTGAAAATGTTTTGACGACATATAACCCTTTTTTTTCTTACAGATATAACCCATTGGCATCATTATCTATCGGTGAAATTAGCGGAAAATGCAAAGATTTGACCTTGCTCCATAAGTTTTGTTTTTTCCTCAATCAATGAAATGAGCAATATTTGAAGAAGTTTTTTTATTTTTTCATTTTGGCTGATAGATGGTCCAGACACATGCATTGGACCTTGATGTGGAATTCGATGGCTTAGTTGATAAATATCCATTGAATTTTGCCTTAGTATAATTTTTTGTCGTTGGGTACAAGAAACTAAAAAGATTATTCTATTACACTACGAAGTAACAATAGGTTTTAGGATTTAAGATTCTTCTATTACAAGATATCCTCATATCCATCAACTATATTGTAGAATTTTATACAGTCGTTTATATTTAAGAAATATTGAATCACTACTCTACTACTATCAAGTTCCTTAATTAAATAATTCTTTATCATCAACCTTTTTTTTGGGTTCAAACATCAATTTTTTCTAAACGGTTTTATTTGTATGAAGTTTTGAGTATAATGTGAGTGAGTCACGCGCATGGAAAAACCTTAAAGTGACAGACTGTCACGCAAATAAAAACAACTGTGGAGAGTGGAAACCATTAAGATTCACGGACTCGAAACAAAGAAGGCAACTTGCACTTTGAAGCTCGACAAGATTTACCATTTGATAAATAATACGACACCGTCACGGGTCACTACCAAACACTCGCGCTTATTGGGATCTATGATTCCTTGTTTTTCTTTTTCTCCCCTTAAGAAAAATATAATTTTTGTCACCTTAAGTACCATTAATTTCGTCCCCGAAAAATTAACTGCATCCGAATTGATTATCAATAACTTCAGCTCATTTTTAATCAAAGTGAATATATCACATGCCTCTTACTCTTAGTTAGTAAACATTAAAATTATTACAACATGCAAAGAATAAGAACAATGAGTTAGTTTACAAATGACAGAAAATCTTATTTGAGCTAGAAAGTAATATAAATATTTCGAAATCACATATACATATTAATAAAACACTGTTAATTCACCAGTTCAAAACAAAATATTGTCCACTTTTTGATTTTAAAAAAGGAAAAAATACATTACGGTGTTGGACGTGGATAATACACATACCATAAATCAAATATTTCGTAGTATTGAAAAAGCATAAATCAAATTTGGATATGGGGTCGCCTGCCTGAAACATTGTGTACTCAAAAGAATATATATACTTACAACTAGTTTTATACCCAAAAAAGTAAATTTATACGCTGAGGCAAAATAGATGAAGAAAAAGCAAATTTATATACGTTGAATATTCGATGTGCACTTTTGTATAAAGCTAAAAGTTAAAACCCACTCGCATGATGCAAGGTTCATATTTTGTTAAAGATGATGCAAGGTTCATATTTTGTTAAAGATGATGCAAGGTTCGTTATTTTTAAGAACTACTTTTAAGTAAAATAGATTTAAGAAATATAAAAGAAGTAAAGAACAGAGGTCATAAATCCAAACACTATCTACATTATCGACCGTATGGTCCGTATCCTTATTTATTCCCTCGAAGACCGTATCATCTCTTTACATAATCTCAATATTCATAGGTGGAAATTTTTTCAATTATTATAAGGTAATAATACAATCCTAGATTATTTATACAAACCACGGAATCTTCAGCGAGCGTAGTAGCTCATTACTATATAAGTAGTATCACTAAAGCAAAGAAAAAACATCCCAAGAATCGAAACACAACATAATGGGGTCTTCTTCTCCACTAACAAGACGAAACAGAGCAGCGTCCTCTGTTTTTCTTATCTTTCTCTGTTTCTTCATTTGTTACTCAGATTCATCAAATGCTCAATCCTCGCCGGTTTTCGCCTGCGACGTCGCCGGAAACCCATCTCTCGCCGCTTATGGATTCTGCAATACCGCTTTGAAGAGCGAATACCGAGTCGCTGATCTGGTCGCGAGACTTACGTTGCAGGAAAAGATCGGGTTTTTAGTGAGTAAAGCTAACGGCGTAAGTCGGCTTGGGATTCCGACGTATGAATGGTGGTCGGAAGCACTTCACGGCGTTTCTTACGTCGGACCCGGCACACATTTTTCCGGCCAAGTTCCCGGCGCCACGAGCTTTCCTCAGGTCATACTCACGGCCGCTTCTTTCAACGTGTCTCTGTTTCAAGCCATTGGCAAGGTAAACAAATTTGATCCATTTTCGACTTTATATTTTATTTTTCGTCCTTTGCTTTTCTTTTTGTTTTTGGATAATGTAAATATCTCAGTTATTACGCAACTGGGCCTCTCTTTTTCTCTCTTTCGTTTAGTACAAGTAAACACTTTTCAACACGCTATACGACGTCGTCTTTGTACTTTCTTACCAACACTGAAATTTCCCACATTTTTATTGTTTTCCGTGTCCTTGATTTATAATTCCTGGTTCAGTTTCGGTAATACCACTCGGTTAGTTTTGATGCGGCTTCGGTTCTTTCCTTAACTCAAGTGACTTTGATTTTTTTAAAACATAATTATTCGGTTTCGGTTTAGGTTTGTTCGGATATGAAGAAAAACAAACCTAAATCGATTTACGTGTTTTTTTTTTTATTACGAATTAAAACTGGTTTTCTCAGTAAAATTTCAAATTGGCTCGGTTACACCAGATTTGGTACGCAGAATGATTTTTTTTTTGGGATGACAAGACAATACAATTGTTGGTTTGGTTAATGAAGGTTGTGTCGACGGAAGCGAGGGCTATGTACAACGTGGGATTAGCCGGATTAACGTATTGGTCACCGAATGTGAACATATTCCGAGACCCGAGATGGGGAAGAGGACAAGAGACTCCCGGAGAAGATCCATTGCTTTCTAGCAAGTATGCTTCTGGCTACGTTAAGGGTCTTCAAGAGACTGACACCGGCGATGCTAACCGCCTCAAAGTCGCCGCCTGCTGCAAACACTACACCGCTTACGACGTCGATAATTGGAAAGGCGTAGACCGTTACAGTTTCAACGCCGTGGTATTCACTCAAAACCTTTTAAATCTATTATGGAAAAAAAAAGAAACATTTTGAGTGTTGAATACTAGCTGTTTTGTCAGATTTAGAGTGTGTGTTTGATTAGGTTGGGAATTCGGATCATTTCTAGTTATTTTGGTATTAGGACAATTTGCTATGAAGTTTTCTCACTTAAGTATAGCCAAATTGATTGCAGTTTGGTTTTCGGTGTGGTTGCTCAATTTGCTCGTTGTGACCGGTTTAGTACTAGATTTAGGTGGGATTTTGAGTCGGTTATTTTGCTTCAGGTTCTGTTTAATCATCAGAATGCACAGCCACGGATTTCATAATATTGGTTGGACCAAAGACATTCTTAGTGTTTGTACTAACTGTTTTTGTGTGTTTGTTGGAGTAGGTGAATCAGCAGGATATGGATGATACGTATCAACCACCGTTCAAGAGTTGTGTGGTTGATGGGAATGTGGCGAGTGTTATGTGTTCTTACAATCAAGTTAACGGTAAACCGACATGCGCTGATCCTGATCTGCTCTCTGGTGTTATCCGCGGCGAATGGAAGTTAAACGGGTAAAACATCTGATCCCATCATCATAGTGTCGAATTTGAAATGGTTTCAGGTTCTGATTTTGAGTTTTTGTCCGGTTTTTCTAATTTTTGTAGGTACATTGTTTCGGATTGTGATTCGGTAGATGTGTTGTATAAGAACCAACACTATACCAAGACACCAGCGGAAGCTGCAGCTATATCTATCAATGCAGGTTTGGACTTGAACTGTGGTTCGTTCTTGGGTCAGCATACACAGGACGCGGTTACGGCCGGTCTGGTTAACGAGGCAGCTATCGACAAAGCCATTTCGAACAACTTTTTGACACTTATGCGTTTGGGATTCTTCGATGGAGATCCCAAGACGCAGATCTATGGCGGATTGGGTCCTAAAGACGTTTGCACGCCTGCGAATCAAGAGCTAGCCGCAGATGCAGCGAGACAAGGCATTGTCCTGCTAAAAAACACTGGAGGATGCTTACCGCTTTCTCCTACAGCGATCAAAACGCTAGCCGTGATTGGACCAAACGCGAATGTCACCAAAACGATGATCGGAAACTACGAAGGCACGCCGTGCAAATACACAACACCGCTTCAAGGATTAGCCGGGACTGTATCAACAACATATCTACCAGGCTGTTCCAATGTAGCCTGCGCGGTGGCGGATGTAGCTGCCGCCACGAACCTAGCGGCGGCTGCAGATGCGACTGTGCTCGTGGTGGGTGCAGATCAATCGATCGAGGCGGAGAGCCGCGACCGTGTCGATCTGAATCTTCCCGGAAAACAACAAGACCTTGTGACCCAAGTGGCTAAAGCAGCAAAAGGACCGGTCTTGCTCGTTATTATGTCCGGAGGAGGTTTCGACATTACCTTCGCTAAAAACGATGAGAAGATCGCCGGAATCTTGTGGGTGGGTTACCCCGGAGAAGCCGGCGGCATCGCCATCGCTGACGTCATCTTTGGCCGTTGTAATCCAAGTAAGACTCTCTCTATCTTTGTGTAATTGCAATGCAAAGTTCGATTAGCTTAAACCAGAGATAACCGGATAAATTATGTTTTGAAGGTGGAAGATTGCCGATGACTTGGTATCCACAATCGTATGTAGAGAAAGTTCCGATGACGAATATGAACATGAGACCGGATAAATCAAACGGGTATCCGGGTCGGACTTACCGATTCTACACCGGAGAAACAGTTTACGCCTTCGGAGATGGCCTCAGCTACACCAAATTTAGCCACAGCTTAGTGAAAGCACCACGGCTCGTTTCTCTCCGTCTAGAAGAGAATCACGTTTGCCGATCTTCGGAATGTCAATCGCTCGACGCGATCGGACCGCACTGCGAGAACGCTGTCTCCGGCGGATCGGCGTTTGAGGTTCATATTAAGGTACGGAACGGCGGAGATAGAGAAGGAATTCACACGGTGTTTCTATTCACGACGCCACCGGCGGTTCACGGATCGCCGAGGAAGCATCTTTTAGGATTCGAGAAGATTCGATTAGGGAAGATGGAAGAAGCGGTGGTTAAGTTTAAGGTTGAGATCTGTAAAGATCTGAGTGTTGTTGATGAAATCGGGAAGAGGAAAATTGCTTTGGGTCAGCATCTTCTCCATGTGGGCGATTTGAAACATTCCTTGAGCATTAGGATCTGATTCCAATAATGGATTGTTATTCTTTTTGCAATTTGAAAGAAAAATTATAAATATGCTTATTGCTTAAGCTTATGCAAGTTGGGTAGAAAAAGGAATAAAAAGGAAATTGTGAATCTCTTATTTTTCAGTTTCTTTTGTTAATAATGTGTCCCATTTCGGGTAATATCGGTTACATGTTATATATGGATAGTTCGAGTTAAAATTACCATCGGAATTATCTTGCTTTTTTTAAGCGACCATATCATGTATTTATATTCAATCAGATTTGGATTTTAGGTACTTTGGACATTCTGTTAATTGCAAGTAATCTTGACTTTGAATATATTTGTGTAGGTATGTTTGTATAATTTAGATAATTTTTAAATTTTTCAGTTACTCCCGGATTATTATCTGAACATAAGATTCTTAACCCAAGAGAACCGGATACTTGGGTTGGGTACGGCGTATAGTCGGGTAAGTACCGGGAATCAACGAATAACTTACCGGTTTATTTCGGTTATCCCCGGTTGATTTGAAAATCGTTTAATCTCTGAACAGAATATAGTCACGTTTCCTTATTTTTCTGAAACTGTAACACTTTTCCGGCAAACACACAAATCAAACCTAAAAAGCCCGAAAGAAAGATTTGAGAAAAATCTTTTTAATGAAAAAGGAGCAGACAGGACTAAAATTCGCTTTTCTGAATCCACTAGGGTTTTGTTTCCACCGTCCAATTCGCATGAACACTTGAGCAAAAAGGTCTGATTCTCTCTCTTTTTTTTTGTCAAAAACTGGGTGAAAGAAAGAATTGTCGAGGTTTTTGTTTCATGGTGGTGCTGAATTATCAGACGGCGTGGAAGTGGACGGTGAGGACTTTTTAAAGGCATGGCGCATAATAACGGGTACGTGGTTCTGACGGATCCTTCGGCGGTTGTGACGGTGAAGAAGAAGACGCCTCAATCGTCACGGAATTGGGTTCGTATAGACGCGACCGGACAGAGTGAGACGCTCGATGTCGACAAGTATGCTATCATGCACCGTGTCCAGATCCACGCGCGAGATCTCCGGATTCTCGACCCGAATCTATCTTACCCATCCACTATTCTTGGCCGAGAGAGAGCCATTGTGCTCAATTTGGAGGTCGGGATTGTTCGATTCTCATCTAACTTGTTCTTCAGACATTGGTGGTTTCTGGGCTTTTTGTGTGTGTGTGTGATTTTCAGTGTGATTAGTTTTTTTCTTTTTTTTTTGGTGGCGGGCTGATGCAGCATATCAAGGCGATCATCACTTCCGAAGAGGTTAGTTTTTGGAGTAGACCGATTCGATTTTGATTTCTTGTGGAAGTTTTTGGAGTAGACCGATTTTTTTCGTAATCTTCAGAGGTTCATGTTGAAAGTTTGTTCTTTCTAGTACTTAATCTCTCATAATACTGACACTGAGCTTGAGCAATCACTGAGCTTGAAAAAATTTGGCTTCTTCACTAGTGTTTTCAAATATTCACAATCTCTTTAGAGAATTAGGGTTTCTCACTCCGTAAATAATGTTTTTTTCATGTCTTAGCTCGATGATTGTCAATGATGATGAACCTTTTCTCTTCTTCTAGTAATGACTCAACATATTACATTACAGGTTTTGCTTCGGGATCCATCAGATGAAAATGTTATTCCCGTTGTCGAGGAGCTTCAAAGACGCTTACCTGTTGGAAACGAAGCACACCATGGTCAAGGAGATGGAAAAGAGAGCTCAGGTGCACAAATTGACGGTGAAACTGGTGAAGAAGATGGTACTATCCCCACAGCTTTTCAAAACACTTCAAATCCGTATCAGTTTCTTTTTTTTGGTATATTGAAATGCCTGCTTGTTGCAATGCAGAATCCCCATTTGAATTTAGGGCGCTGGAAGTTGCTTTGGAAGCAATCTGTAGCTTCTTAGCTGCAAGGACAACAGAATTAGAAACAGCTGCTTATCCTGCTTTGGATGAGCTTACCTCAAAGGTAGACACCTCAACGTATAATCATCACCAGTGGTCCAATTTCCAACAGTGTGTTTACATTAATCTTGTAGATTAGTAGCCGTAACTTGGATAGAGTTCGGAAATTGAAGAGTGCCATGACTCGGTTGACAGCTAGAGTTCAAAAGGTGAGCAAGTATCTTTCCTTTAAAATATTTGCGTAGAAAGGCAGTGTTGTCTCTTAAAGTTTGTAATAGAAGGAATTTAAATAGCTCCATCAATATTTTTGCAGGTAAGAGATGAGCTCGAACAATTGCTGGATGATGACGATGATATGGCGGATCTTTACCTTTCAAGGAAACTTTCTAGTGCTTCTTCACCGGTTAGTAGTCCTGGTGAACCAAATTGGTATCCTACTTCCCCAACAATAGGTTCTAAGATTTCAAGAGCAAGTAGAGCGAGTCTAGCCACAGTTCGTGGGGATGAACATGATGTTGAAGAACTTGAAATGTTGCTCGAGGTTGGTTGTTACTGCACAAAGGCTTATCTTATCTACCTATCTTCGAGTCACATGTGAAGTCTAAAAACAGATGTTTTCGATTTCTTTACAGGCATACTTCATGCAAATCGACAGCACTTTGAACAGATTAACAACAGTTAGATTCTTGCTCTTTTGTTTCCTGTTATTTGGCCCAGTCCTTTTTTATCTCTCATTTTTTTTGATTTTGATGCAGCTACGTGAGTATATCGATGACACAGAGGATTACATTAACATCCAGGTAACAATAAACGAATCCTCTACCTCTAATCTTCTTTTTTCACATTTGTTCTTGAAATCTGAATTTTCAAAATATCCGAATCTAAAACCTATAATCATTGATTTTGTTTCGCAGCTAGACAATCATCGTAATCAGCTGATTCAGGTAAGTGAATGTTGAAAGTCGGAGGTTTTTTTTTTTTTATCATCGTCTTGGGCTGCTCGTCTTGATTATCTTCAAAATCCTGCAGTTGGAGCTTGTATTAAGTTCTGGAACCGTTTGCTTATCAGTGTACTCTCTTGTTGCTGGCATTTTCGGGATGAACATTCCATACACATGGAACGATAACCATGGATACATGTTCAAATATGTATGATACCAGATCTCGATTTGCTTGATAAAGAAATGAAAAATCTCAGGATTTACCTAAGTGTTTTTTTTTTTTTGGGTTGCAGGTCGTGATCCTGACGGGGACATTTTGTGCAGTCTTGTTCGTGTTCATAATGTCGTACGCTCGGTACAAAGGGCTTGTGGGATCTTGATGGGTGATTTGGTAGAGAGATTTTATGAGTAGAGGAAGTTTAAAGAAATCGACAAACAAAAAGCTGCAGAAGCAATTGAGAATTGTAATTGTAAAGATGAGCTTTACTCTATACATCGATTCGTTACAAATAGAGCCATATAGAACAAAGTTTATTGCAAGCCAAAACATTCGTTACAGTTAGAGGCTTAGAGCATCCTCCTACCAACTATACAACTTTTGAGATTCTGCGATTAAAGATATGAAAAATATACATCCAACTCTCAAGAATCGAGTATGTGGTGTCTATTTTGAGTGTCCTCATGACTTTTTTTTTTTTTAAAGATGATTTAGGTTTCCAGAAAATTGTGTGCTTCCTTTTTTTTTTTTTTGCTTTAGCTAGGTTTTGGGTTCTCTCCTTAGTCTTCTTCTCTTTGTTTCTTTTCTATTAATTTTTCAGCTTCAAATAGACACAGTGAGGAAGAATGAAAAGAAGGTAGAAGGCTGGGGCCGGACTTGGGCCTGTTGTTGTCTTTTTGTTTCGACATCACCTGTTGTTGTTTACGGGTCGGGTCAACCTAACGCCTGGACTATCCAACAAGGGGAAGGGGAAGTTGTTGAACGACGCCGTTCAATTATTAGCCAGAACCAAAGTTAAAAGGGGCAACTTAGTAATCTACATCTCATTGTTACCGTTTTCCTCGATGACGTGGCTTCTTCTTCTACTCTGCTTCACCCCGAGTCTCGAGACTCGAGTCATGACTCGTGAGCGACTTTTCTCTGACGATTCAGAAACTAGCCGTTGAAAACTTCAAACGGTAAAATTTTATAACGGTAACATGGACTACTTCAAAGTTAAACGGCTAGATTGCGAAACCAATTCTATAAATAATGGGGTTAGTCCTCCCAATTTCTCTGCATCGTAGAAATAAGCTAACATTTTCTCAAAAAATTCTCTGAGTTTGGGGAACTAATTCCAAGTTAAGCTCATAATCGAAAACTTCCCTCTTCTCAAACTCTGTGTTCTACTCATCTGAATTTTTATAAGGTATGCTCATAATCTTATATTTTTCTCTTGTTTTTCTATTCATCTGAATTTTGTAATATTTCGAAATTAATGGAATTTTCCCCTCTTGATTCTCTTACTCTGTTTTGTCATTCGATTCATCTGAATTTGTTTAATCTGTGCTCATAAATCTCAGCTTTTTCTCTGAGTTCTAAAATCTGTTTTGGTTTTCTATACATCTGAATTTTGTAAGATTTTCAAATTAATCGAATCTTTCCCTCTTGATTCTCTTACTCTGTTTTGTCATTTAATTCACCTGAGTTTATTTAAGTTGTGCTCATAATCTCATCTTTTGCTCTTGTTTCTAAACTCTGGTTTTGGTTTTCTATTCATCTGATTTTTGCAAGATTTCGAAATTAATGAAATCTTTTGTTGGACCAATTTGTTTACGCCTACATATTTCCCTCTTGATTCTCTTACTCTGTTTTGTCATTCGATACATCTGAATTTGTTTTAAGTGTGCTCATAATCTTATATTTTTCTCTTGTTTCTCAAACTCTGTTTTGGTTTTCTATTCGTCTGAATTATGTAAGATTTTTAAATCAAAATTCTTTTACTCTGTTTTGTCATTCCATTCATCTGTATTTTGAAAATTTCTCCTTTCTTGTTAAAGGGTTGGTATTCGTAAGATTTCACCAAGGGAATCCCTTTCTCTAATAGATAAATAAATTATTATTCTCTCTTGTTTCTTTTACTCTGTTTCGGTGTTGGATGCATCTGAGTTTTTAATTATTTCCCGCGCTTTTTTTTCTGTTTATATCTGCTGCGATAACAGAAAAAGGTGAAAACTTTACAACAAAAAACTAGCTCTAGTTTTGCAGCAAATCATGCTTTTTTATGAACTTTTTATGCCTTCGTGGTTTTGATTGAACCTCCTTGTTCTTGAGACATCGACATTTGATTGTTTTTCCAGCATTTTTCTCCATTTTATTGTATGGTAAATAGTAAATTTTAAGTGTATTTTATCTAATCGGATTAGTGTAAAAATAAGGAAACTGTGGAATGAGGGAGTGTAGAATAATAATGTGTAATTGTTGTAAATGGTTAACCGGTTTGTGTAGTATTGATGTTTAATTGTTGTACACCAATCATCAGTGTACTGGATGTTTAATTGTTGTACACAATAACACAAATTATCGTGAAATGGGTAAAAAATGGTTTCCTTGTCCTGGCAAAGTCCTCCTGTATGCTAAGATGGGCCTTCATCGTTATAATTTGCTGCAGGTCTAAAACTCTTGTTATCCACATGCTCTATATACTATGCTTCTACAATCAATTTCTTTCTTCCTGATTTCAGGGTACAAAGTTTCAACTCATTCGCGTAAAGAAATATACATTTTCTCAATAGTTCTCTCCTATTGGCTCTTACTATATAACTTTGGATGCAATGGATTCAGCTGCTGGTTCTTCGCTTCAAACTTTTTAGACTAGAGTATCAGAAGAAGAGGGTGGTAAATTTATTCTGACGTGCAAGATTGGAAGAATCCAAGGTCAAATATTTTTTTCAATAATTTTTCCTTTGTATACAAGGAAATCAATCATCTCAACTTAATTGCTGATTTAATAATATTTGTATAAGGGGAAACAAGCCATGGCAAAAGAGCCCCATGTATGGGTTACTTAGCTTGGCTGAGTGGCCGCCAGAGAATCCTTTTGAAAAATGTTAGCTGGTAAGATTCAGACACACAATTGGATAATATGTTTTGCCTTTTGGTCAGGTGAATGAATCAGAGCTGCAAGACAATGGCTGGATTCGTCTAAATTTGGAACTTGCTGTTGCCACCACCACTGATGGGATAGGGACTGTGGTCTCTCCAACTTGTTGGAGATTGTGAACGTGACCATCAATGATGACGGACGCAATGCCAAAAATGCAATAATCTACATAAGGTACAATCTACAAAATGCAATTATAGTTAGAAGGGCCCTGTTCAAGCTGGCGGCTGCGGCTACACGCGCGGCTGACATACGAACAACAAGCGCGTCTAAATCTCTGCGGCCATTCGCAATTGTCTGAATAAATTCAGCATTTTGTTTCGGACGCAGGGATATCTAGTAAACGAACACCCGCCCTAATGCTGCGGGATACGGGATGCTTCATGCTCGTGGGTCAGACTCAGAGTTCAGAAATTATACCAAAACACCCTAGTCCTAGTCTCGTTGCTAATTAGGATACGGGATGCTTCAGTCTCAAGGGTCAGAATTGTAAAGATGCGATTGACACTTCTAAGTTTATTTTAAGCCAAGAAGCCATATCATATAATTACAATTAGAGCCATATAAAACAAAGTTTATTTTAAGCCAAGAAGCTTCTGGCTCATATTAGCATCCTACAAACTATACAGCTTTTGAGAATCTGAGTTTAAAGAAATATACATATATATAATCTAACTCTCAAGAATCACGGTCTATGCAATGTGGTGGCTATTTTGAGTCTCTTCATGATAAATTTTTTTTTTTTTTTTTTTAACGTCTTCAGAAAAAATTGGTGTGCTTGAGCTACGTTTTGGGTTCTCCTCCTAATTTTTCAGCTTCAAGTAGAGAAACAGAGAGGAAGAAGACATGCAATGAAGGGCATGCAATGAAGGGCTTGGGCCGGACTTGGGCCGGTTTTATGTTGAAATCACTTGTGTTGTTTATTTCCCAGTAAGTTCAGTTTTAAAATCCATCTACGATGCGGGGGCTTCGTGATCTCACAAGTGAAAAAAAATTGTATGCATGCGAACGAACTCCGTAAACTCTCTATTACACGAAGTCAAAAGCTAAAAAAAAATAATGCAAATGGACTTTCGTGTTCCACATAAAGATTTTACCAGAAAGTATAAACTATTGTCGACGTCAGCAGTTCGCGTGGAGAGTTGAGGCCGAAGCTGACGGAATCGTCGACTTAAAACAATAAAATAGTAAGATTCCTTTTTATTTTATTTCTTTTTTCGTACTTTTCCACCAGTATATATATAATTCAAAATAATTAAAATAATATGATAGATTCTTCCACTCTGCAAGGAACCTCATTGGCTGACGTAATAGGAATTGCCTCTTGGAACAACATAAAAATCACATTTCACCATTTATTTTATAACTAGTCTTCTTATATGGTGTGGTCCGTTGCGACAATTTTCATCACACCACGACATAAATTAAATCAATCAAATTTAAACAAAATGGTCCGTACTAAAATATAAATTAAATAAAAATTGTCCATACTTGTCCTCACAGCGCACATCTAACGTTTTCCTCTCATTAATCAATTAGATGTTCTGTTTTTTCAAACGCAATTTTCGCATTCTATTTTATATAATGTTTGAAGAAAACAAAGTTATACTGATGTGTTCAATCAGACATCATTAAAAAGATCGTGAACATAATAGGCGTTATAAAACTTGAAAACATTGTGTGTGTTAATGAGGCTTAGCAATGTGTGTGTTTGTGTTTTTTTTTCTCGACTCTACTATATTAAATGTACACTTGTAACCTTTTATTTCTTAGACGCGCTTCTATGCCACAAGTGTTTCGCATTTGGATACTGGAATCTTATATGAAATTTTGATAATACTAGGTTTAATGATGCCAGCTAAATTTAATTATACTTTACTCGTGGCATGAGAAAAATATTGTTTTTTCTCTTCTCTCGTTTATAAACAAATCGTCACATAAAATGACAAAAAACATAATCATTAAGTTTGTAAAAAGAAAAGAAACTTCAGTTTTCATAAAATATACGATGACATCATAAAAAAATTGGAAAGGAATCAGTTTTGACCGGTTCGGACGGTAATCGGTTTTTCTTTTCTTTCTAATATCAGAAGTGACTTGCCGCAACATCACTACCACTCGAATCAACAAAAAAAAACAAGGGGTATATAAGACTTTTTGCTAAAAGACGGCGTCGTTTTCATCGAAAAGCAAATTAATAGATTTCCCAAAATAGAGCACTGTCTCATCCAATCAGAACCGTTACTATCGACGGAGACAGAGGGCATTTTGGGTAACTCAGATGGATTCTCTCTCTCGCGGTTTATAAACGAGATGCGTCCACGCTCATAATAATATCTCTCTCTCTGTAGCCCGCTAATATATCGACACCTGTGCTCAGTCCTTTTGTTTCTTCTTCTTCCCTAAATTTCGAGACGAGGAGATTCTCAGTTTCCAAGAATTTATTTTTCTTTGCTTACGAAATCTCTCTCTCACTCTGTCTCTCAGATCCATCAGGTTTTTGATTTCTCCTTTTAGTAATTTTTGTATCTTATATCACTGATTGATTAGAGTTATATGGGGATACATCAGAATGCATGGTCTGTTTGTTTTTTTTTTTTCATATAAATTATTTGCAGGTTAACTTTTTTTTTCCTTTTTAGAATTTCTCCAGCTAGTTTCTGAGATTGTCTCATGCTCTTTTCAGATTTTTTTTTTTATAATGGTTTTTGTTCTTTCACCTTTAAGCTGTTAAATCTTTTAGAATTTGAATTGTTTATCTTAAGACTCTTTTTTGCTGTTGCACAAATTTTTACTTTGTTGTGAATTTAGTTCTTCTTTCGCGAGTTAGAAATAGTGAAATTTAAATTCTGAATCTTGATGGTTCCATGTTGTGTTTTTTATTGTTTTCTTTTTCAGACAATTATTTCCTTAGATCTTGTTATTGTGTTCGGATCTTCATCTACAATAGAAAATCCTGAGGCATTGTTGTTACCACTTATCAAACAAGGTTGACTTTCAAGGTTGTGATAGAAGTTTTCAAATCTAATGATCTCTCACATAATTCAGATTTTGTTTTTTTTTACCTTTTTAGTAGCTTGAGTAACAACAATTATTGCGTTTTGCTGTGTACTATTTTGTAAAATAATCTTATCTTATCCTTTCTTTCATTCTGCTTATTTTGGGAAATCTCTGATTTTCAAATTTATGTGAGCGATGAAAAGAAGTACCCTCACGTTTCACTTTTACCCAAGGCCACAAAATGTTGCGAAACCATAAGTCATTTTTGGTTGGTACTTGGTCCTTTTCAAGCATTGTTGTAGCCAATTATTGGTCTGTACTTTGAATCTCTTTAACTCCATAAACTGTAATTTGTATTACACTATTGACTCACATGCCTTGTTGATTTATTAGTCATTGTAGTTTTTATTGTTCTTCTTTCTTAGTTTTCTACTGACAGAGACTTTGTAACTGCTGCAGATAAGGTTCTTGCTCTTCCCCGTTATTGAAAGATGGACAGGGCAGACACATGGGGATTTGTCAGTGGTGGGAGATGTTTATACCTCAAGTTGCTTTTATGTTTATAGTTTACAAGGTGTTCCAAGTATTCTTGTTTTGGGCGTTCTGTTTCTTCCCTTTTGCCATCCTTCTGTCTTCTTCACATGGATATGAACGAGAGTGTCGTTCACTTGTCTCGTGCCAATGGTATTGCAAAGCTTGACAATTTCGGTGATACTGCTCTCAGCTTGAAATGCCTTGGAAGCAGCGCAGGGAGATTAATGGGGAGCTCTCACCACAACCATAAGCTTTGTTCTGATGTTTCTAACTGTCCTGATGGTGGTTGCCGGTTGGTTCTCGGTTTGGGTCCAACACCACCTTCCTATTATTACAATGTCAGTGTTAATAGTAACAAAGGCTCAGCTTCTTCTGGGATTGTTCATTCTGGGATTGTTCAAGAACTCTCGTCAGGTGGTAATTCAATTCTGCAGCTCGGTCCTCCCGCTGTGGCCATGGATACTTTCAGTGGACTTGATTGTTCATTGTTGACATATACAGAGACCAATGTGTCCCAAGCTGTTGTTGATGAGGGTTCTACCTCTGCGAAGCGATCAGGTGGCTATATGCCGTCGCTTCTTTTCGCTCCAAGGACGGAAAACGTTAGAAAACCTTCAAGAATGCAAGATTGTAGCACTGATTTTGGACAAACTGATGCTTCACAGCTGAGCCATGAGTCAGAGCTCTCTGACAGGACGGCATCTTCTCAGCAAAGGACGACCAACCCGAAGAAGTGCAAATTCATGGGATGTGCGAAAGGAGCTAGAGGAGCTTCAGGGCTCTGCATTGGCCATGGAGGTGGGCAGAGATGTCAAAAGGCAGGCTGCAACAAAGGTGCTGAGAGCAAAACTACTTTCTGCAAAGCCCATGGTGGAGGAAAGAGATGCCAACACTTGGGATGTACAAAAAGCGCTGAAGGGAAAACGGATTTCTGTATATCTCACGGCGGTGGAAGACGGTGTGGGTTCCCTGAGGGATGCACCAAGGCGGCACGTGGCAAATCAGGGCTCTGCATCAAGCACGGTGGTGGCAAAAGGTGTAGGATCGAAGGCTGTACACGAAGTGCTGAGGGACAAGCTGGGCTTTGTATTTCCCACGGTGGTGGGAGGCGTTGTCAGTCTTCAGGGTGTACAAAAGGTGCTCAGGGAAGTACAAACTACTGCAAAGCTCATGGTGGAGGAAAACGCTGCATATTTGCGGGATGTACAAAGGGAGCGGAAGGTAGCACTCCGCTGTGCAAAGCGCACGGAGGAGGAAAACGCTGTATGTTTGATGGAGGTGGGATTTGTCCAAAGAGTGTGCACGGTGGGACAAGTTTCTGTGTAGCTCATGGTGGAGGGAAGAGATGTGTTGTGGAAGGGTGCACGAAGAGCGCTCGAGGGAGGACTGATTGCTGTGTGAAGCACGGTGGTGGGAAACGGTGTAAGTCTTTAGGGTGTGAGAAGAGTGCGCAAGGTAGCACTGATTTCTGCAAGGCTCATGGTGGAGGGAAACGTTGCTCTTGGGGAGGGGATTGGAAATGCGAGAAATTCGCTAGAGGAAAGAGCGGTTTATGCGCTGCGCATAATAGTATGTCTCAGGACAAAGCTGGAAGCAAGATTGGTTTGATTGGACCAGGACTTTTCCGTGGCCTTGTCTCCACTTCTTCCCAAACCACAACAACTGCGACTACTACTACGACCACTGATCATTCTCAATCTGGAGTCAGCGCGGTTTCTGACTGTACAGACTCCATTGACCACCACCCGCCGCAGCTGCATCATCATCATCATCCTGAGAAAAGACAGAAGCTGATGATACCAATGCAGGTTCTTGTGCCTCCATCAATGAAATCCTTGAGCTTCTCAAACAGTGAGAGACCGGAAACCGAGACAAACAACAACAGTAGCAGCAACGGGAGGAACATCTTTGACTTTATGATTCCTGAGGAGAGAGTTCACGGCGGCGGGCTTATGTCTCTGCTTAATGGCAGCCTGAAACAAACTCTCCATTGATGGATTTTGAAAGCTTTCTCTATCGAGCTCATCACCAAAAAGCTAGAATCCGTGTAAAGCTTTATGTAATATGTATAGTTTTCTGGGTTTTTTTTTTTGTTTTGCCTCTCTCGTTGGTCCTTTGTATATTTATGGGTCTTTGTTTTTGCTTTGTCTTTGTCTTGACTTTGACCATCTAGTCGATGGTTCGAACCCAAGTCTTTGTTTATTTGATTATTGTTTGGAATGCTACAGTGTAGTAAAGTGTTTTACGCTATGTATAAAAGTTAAAACCAGAGCTTGCTGGGTCGAATGGTTAAATCAATTTTTTTTGGGTTTAGTCTTGACCGGTTTAGTGGAAAGGTTAAGAAGAAACTCCGTCAATGTTTCAGACTCCGTCAAAACCAGGTCATCAAATGGACGTTGCCGCCGTTATCTTTTCCGGTAGCTGTATATATACACTGAGGCGCTAAGCAAATTCGTCCGTTCGAATCAGATTTTTTCCCTCTTCTCTCTCTCTTTGGAGATTTCTGGAGCAAGCTTCGGTATTAGCAACTCGAATTTCAGGTATGGGAAAATCTGGATTTCTTTCCCAATTTCGAGCTATGGATTTAGCTCTTTCGTGATTGAATCGGTTGTTGTTTCCGTTCCCGATTGATTCTTCTTCTCTATGATCGGATTTTGGCTTTTCGTCTTTCAATCGTTCTCGCATTTGATTTGCCTTCTTCATGTTTGTGATGATTCTCCGTGAATGTTTCCTTGGCGAATCATTCGGTAGATTTTGCATTGTTTATCTCGTGAATCGTCATCGTCAATTTTGGCGGGTAAATGTTCACGCGGAGACTTAGTTCGTGATCCAATCTGCAACTTGATTCACAGAAATCTTTCGTTGAATGCATTCCTCTGAGATTATCGAAGTTTTCTCCTAAAGCGTTTGGCGCAACTGTTTTAGCGGACTTCTTCTCTGATGATTTGTTTTTTTTTTCTGTTGAATAGCAAATCTCATCTGGTGATTTTGATGAGAAAATTAGTCTCATTTCGTATTCTTTGATGCTCAAAAAATCTACTAGGAGTCTCAGATTCTCCAATTTCAGAGACGTGATGGACAAAAGCGAGCCATTTGTATACGACGAGGTGTATGACAAAACGCCAAAGCAGAGTCCCCAAGGCAACCAGACGTGGCCGATGGATAAGATCCGGAAGAGCCGTTTTCAACCAAAAATGTCGTCACTTTTGAGTCCGGTGACTCCTAAAAGGAACTATACCATTAGCAATGCAAAGTCTCTCCTGATGCAATGCTTACGGGACTCAAAATCAGATCCTCTCCCTCGTAGGCGCTTCCCGGTTTCATGCTCAGATGAAGGAATCTTGATGGATGGTGTTCTCGTCACATCGGCCACTTCTGGAAAGAAGGTGTCCAGCTCTCTCGGATGCTCAGGGGGTTCTTCAATCTTCCAGAAGCAACACAAGAAATATGAGTTTAGCAGCCCAAAAAGCCAAACAGGAACAAACCTGCAGGTATTCTCTCTTTTTTACATTCCTTTAAGATTTTAGAATCAATATGTAGGTAAGAACATCACTGAGTTACTTGCGGTTTATATTGGAACATTGCCTGTGATATTCCACAATGGTCATAACATAAAGTTGCTAGACATTAGTGAATTTGATGTCTTTGGAGGAAGCTGAAACTGATAAAGTTATAAACGTCTACGTCTGTTGAGCCTTGATCCATTCAAGAGAAGCTGTATCCTATCGCAACGTCACTAGGCTCACGGTTATGTATTGAAATGTATATGCTAAGGTCTCTTGATTATGCAGGAAACCACTGGATTTCAGGAATCTTCAGCTGAAAAGGAAAAGATGTTGACAATTAGTCCGTGTACACCAAAGGTAATTACTTGACAACATTTTCTGTATCAGTTCCAAAGAACCATAACCAGTTTTCTCATTTGCATTTTTTATACGTGTTGATCATTAGGCTGCTAATTCATCAAAATTGCAAGCTTCTGCGGAGCCATTCACCCCCACACCGAGGTCTCCACCAAGACAAGCTTCTCCTTTTCCACCCCAGCAACTACCATATGATCATTATAACCCGCTGTGTCCATGGGATGTAAGTATTTATCTCAGACCACTTTTTCTTGTATGATAGACCTTTTTGTTTCAGACTCCAGTTAAGCTTTATGTAATCACCCTGCAGCATCCCCTGCACCTGCAGGCGTGCTCGTACTTGCACCGGCCTCGGCCTCCGTTCTACGTTTATCAGAGACCACTACTTCTTCCGGTCTTACCCCATGGGTCTAAAATCTATCAGCTAGGTCCCACTGGCTACCTAAAGAAGCCAGCACCAGTCATAAACGAGCCCTATCAGCTAGATTGTGCGACCAACTTTCCAAGCCTCACTGGCGACCCAACAACAACCAGAATGTCACTACTTCCCACAACACCTCCCTCTAGCCACCCCAACACAAACACCAGCGAGCCACCTGTCCACACTCCCTTATCTACTCCTCCTACAGCTAATCTCAGCACCAGTAGTACCAGCAGCACCACCACCCATGGCTCCTCACCTACTGTTGATGGACTCGACACAGTGACAGAAAAACTAGACTTCTCTGACGAGCTTGAAACAATGACTCGAGAACCAGACCTCTCTTCTCCACCTTCTGATGGACTTGATACAGTGACGCAAATACCGGACTCGTCGTCACCTTCTGATGGACTTGATGCAGCGACGCACAATCCAGACTTGTCTTCACCATCTGATGAGCTTCAAACAGTGGCGCAAAATCTAGACTTGTCACCTTCTGTTGGACATGAAACCGTGACGACAAAGACAGACTGGTCACCTTCTGATGATAAACTCCCAACATTCACACAAGAAGAAAATGATTTTACGAAATCACAGGGCAGGGTCCTGCCAGATAGTGCTTTCCAGCTTTACAAATTTAGAGGAAGCAGAATGTCATGTTTCAAAGATATTTGCACAGAGGTGGAGGAGGAGGACCAGTAAAACAGAAACACGCCAAGGTAACATTCTGTTCATAAAAAAAACTTGGTGTTTTAAACTTTCCGTAGGACTTTACAGAGTTACATACAGAGAAACCTAGTAGATATCATATACAACACAAAAAGAAAAACTTCACTCCAAGAAATGAATCTTCCATTTTTTTCCTCGCATAGATGAATTCAAAATCTAAAGCAGTATGCTTGTTAGGTTTTTGTCTGCTTTTGCTGAAATCCACATTCGTTTTAAGTCTTTCAAGTAAACCAGACTGATATCGGTATTTTGCAATACTATGCAAAATCCGTATAAATTAAAATCGTCTCTGTGTTTGACCAACAAGACGAAATCATGTTTAACTACACGTCTATTTGGTTAAAAACTCATATCACTAGATAGCTTTACCTAGTTTTATTATTGAAATGATCTGGTTTTAATGTTGTAAAATTATCAATATCTAGAAACAGCAAAACCATGAATATCTCCAAGGCCATCCGAACTATACAATGACTTTTTAAAAAAATATATATTTCTATTTGTTATTGTTTTTCATTATTATTTTATTTGTGTAAGGTGCTTGCATCATACATGAGTCAGTGCTTGCTAAGCAAGCACTCATAAAAAAATAAAATTGAAAATTGAAAAATATATAATAGACGTAGAAAGACAATGTTGCTTGGCTCGGCGACACAAGACAACTACTAAACCCAATCAAAGATCTATAGAAAGAGACTATAACTTGGAGAAAAAGGCTCTCGATTGCCAAACTCTTATAAATAATTATCAAAACACCAATCCTACCCTAAACCGGATTAGGTTTAGGCCACACGTATATCAAATATAGAGGCCACACTTGTGTTACTTCAACATAACTTTCTTATGTTATTTGAAAACTTGTATTTCTACTGAACCTTTTTGTTGTCTGTAAAAACTTAGGACTGGCTCATCAGAAATATAATTTTCTCAAAACATTTCCTTTAATTTAGATATCATCATCTTTGTTTTTACAAAGAATTAAAGGAAAAATTACTTTGATTGCACTTCTCGAGTTTTTAGTTATACTACTATAAACTAGAATATAGTAACCCAAGCGCAGTCTGATCCTATCTAAAACTTATAGGGTTCCACAACTTATTTTTAGAAAATTAATTTTCCAAGCTGCCTGCCTTTCCATCTAAAAAGAGAGAGAAATATCATTCTGATTTGTTGGTTTGTTTGTTGAGTTAGATATTAGAAATTATATAAACTTTCAAGAAAGAAAGAAGGAAAAAAAAACCCACAAAGTTAGTTTGGTCTCAATAACTTTTTAAACACACTATTAGCCTTTCCCCATGATTATTCGCCAACATGGGGGCTTATTTTTTTAAGCCTCATTTGCATGCATCCAGTGGTAACATAATCATCATTTCCTCTTTTTTTGTTTAATATGTATAAAAATGTTCTAATGTTTTGGATCTTCTTAATTAGTCAAACCTGTAATCCGTTTCTACCAATTAAAATACATTTTACTTAATATTGTTCAAAGGATGATAAGTAGGTTGCAGTTTTATCCCAGACTAGTAGATGTGGTTTTCCTCCTAACCTTAGGTATATTAGGCAAAAAGACGAGATATATTTTAATTTAAACTTTTACTGGGACAGCTGCATTAACCAATAATTTTCGGGTTATGATTGAATTTTGAAAAACATATACCATATTATTACACTGGTTTCTCTAAATAGAAAATTATTTAAAAGTATATACTATTATGAATATCGTAGGGAAATTTTTGTTTTTCAAACATTAAACGATTATTTTTTTTCGTTGTAATATTTGCGATAATTTTTCTCAAATATAATACTTGCTAATTTATCTCGTCTATAAGATATAGCACACGAAATTAATTCAGTATTAAGAAGATGTATTTTGATTTTTTTTTAAAGTACAAAAAGAGTAGAGCTTCTTCATTTTTTTTTCTTTTGGTTTTTGCTCCTTGCTTGCAAATTGAGTATTGCTAATTTCACAACATATAATTTGTAAGAATGATGTCATTCTCATTCTCCTTTTCCTTTTTTTTTTCTTTCTTCCATTTGGTACAAAGATTTTAGAAATAATTGCCCACTAAACCTTTTCTTTTTTGGGTGCTTCTGTCTTTATTACGGTAAGCTTACTTCGTCAAGATCATCTAAAGACAAAAACACTTCATCCAAACATGAGAGTTCTGTCCCATCTTCATCCTCTTCCTCACTGCAATTTTGTTCATATACTCTGCATATCACCCACTTGCTATAATCCTGCACACAAAGATACATGCCACGTGAAGGTCAACTTCTAATTAATTTTGGTTTCTGAAAATGAATATAACTTTAATTAGGCTCATGAAACAGAAAGGGTACAGTACTTACGGGTTTATGACTGGAACTAGTAGAACCACGGCTTGATCTCTTTGAAGATCGACTAGATGAAGAAGAGGAATCTGGGAGAGAATATTCTTGCATGACCCAGTTAGTCTGAGAATCTCCGAGATAGAAAGTTAGATACTTTTTGATACCCACTTTCTTGCGTGTGGAGCTTGTGAAGATTGTCTCGTCCATTCCCATTGATCCCCAATAACCATTATTCGTCACTCTGTCTTGCGTCTTTCTACTATAGAAGTACCATTGCCTCCCTTCTCCCAAAGCTTTCTCTATATTTATACGTAACCAAATTAGTGTTGATTCACTATCAAATACTGATCCCGAACCTATATTAACTATAGACCAACTATCTGAAACTTTTTGACTATGCTAAGTTTTATTATTGTGTTATATATAGGGTGAGAAACTATGGGTTTATCTATTCTAACCTTATACCCGCTTAACTAGCACGAACTGAGATTAGTGGTCTGAATTTTGATCCACAAGATCTTTGCATATAATAGTCTAACTTAGTGTAAAAATATAAAAGAATATCAATATTATATATGTATGTCTACGTACATGTTCTGGTGTCTGTAATATTTGTATATGATTGATAGTCTTTGTGTATCATGAGAGCGAATGATTGATATGGGTGCACATGTATGACTATGAAGAAAGCAATGTAAATAATGGTTCACCAATTAATAGATTCCTTCCAAGAGAATCAAAAGGAAAGTTATTAGGTAGCGATTGGTATTATTAGTATTTGTGTGTATGGTTAGATTTTGGAAACAAAAACAATCCTTAAAAAGAGCAACCCAACAAAAGTGTGCAGCTAGAAAAAAAGAGAGAGATGGATTAGTTACTAAAGTTGGTGACAACAATCAATCTCTGTCCTTTAATTAGATAATTATACACACGCAAATGTATTGTTAACTATACTCCATACATATAGACACATGATACACACACTACATGCATATGCATGCATGTTTAGATGGGATCATTATGAACATATTGCATGCACATATATAGAGAGATATGTGTATGTATGTATATATATACCTGGGAGGTCCCAAGGATCGTAAGGGTAAAGAGCGAGGTCGGGGATGACGTCAGGGTGACAAGGCAAGAGTGAAGCTTTGCGGTGGAGGAAGTGAACGACGAGCTCTTCGTCCGTCGGAAAAAACCTAAATCCCGGCGGTAGATTCATTGGTAACTTGTTTGATTTCACTACTTCACATGTACATATATATGCGGTTGCGTGTGTGTGTGTGTAGAAGAAGAGTAAACAAGGAGAAAGTAGATATATAGAGAGAATATGATGTGGAACCAGAGGACGTGTATGAAAGAAACTGAGATATATATAGAGGAGAAGGAGAAGGAGATGGTGGAATTTGGAAGCCATATATAATTCTTCTATATATGGCTTCTTTAATTCACTTGCACACACACATATAATATATTTTAAATATACGACAATATAAAGAAATGATAATGAAAAAACAAAAGAGAATGATGGTAGTAAAGATGGACGCAAGTAAGTGCAATGGAACTAAGGGGAGAGGAGTAATCGATGTCAAAGAGCATTTGATCAAAAGCTTATTTTCCGAGAAGTCTTCGTCGGCTTAAGTGGATCTTACAATTTTTTTGGCTGCTGATTTTTCTTGTTCCCTTTCTACTTTTGGTTTTTTTTTTCATTTTTTTTATAGTTCTTCAAAACAAAATTTTGCGTTTCCATATTTAAAATATATACTTTCTACTTTTCTAGTAAGTAAACATCTATCAATAGTCCAACAAAAATACATCAATACATAAAAGTATACAATATAACAGAGCGTTGTAAATGGATTAGAGATATTTTGAGTTATTTAGTGTGGAAAAAGTATTAAAACAAAAGATTAAACGAGCGAAATTATCAATTGATTATATTTTAATAATAACCAAAAAGAAAAGAAAAAGAGGCGGGCGGAAACGAGAGGTGTTTAGGATTGGATGCTTCCACGCAAAAGAGTATCTTCTTTCTTCTTCTTCACCACTCAGAAGAAGATTCTTATCCACTTCTTCTTATTTCTTATTTCTTCTTTCTGTTTCCATATTATTTTTTTAATAGTGTATGTTTAGTTGTATTCAATTCCGAATTAGTATGTTACGATAATAAATTAAGTTAAATTAAAAATAGCACCACTATATACTCAGAATTGTGGTGGAGTATAAGGCCTTTATCACCATGGGTAATGATAATTTTTTTTTTTATATAGTATCAATTAATGGGTGTGTGTCAAGTCAGAGCACACAAGGTATTTGGTTGTTTCTATAGATTGCTGCTAGTTATTAAGGCGAATTCAGTTAGTTACTAATTTAAAAATCCATATTCATTTTTTCTTAATTAATCATTTTATTATCAACATAACATATGTTGATCCATAATCTATGTAACAAAGATATATTTAGTTGCAAACATAAATAGAATACAGATTACATAAAATGACAAAGAAAAAAAAAATCGACCTCTTAACTAACAATTTCAGTATATGCTAACCTCCTTTTGCATAATAGGAAACAATACACTTAATTATCGATTCGTGAAACAATACACTTAATTATCTATTCGTAAAACAATCACCAGAAAGAGTCAATCATACTGTTCACTGTTCATGGCCTTTAGGCTATTTCTACGTTTAAACGGTCAGTTTTCTATTTCATTAATGTAGTCCTCAGTTTACGCCAAAGACAAAAATACCTAACTGATGCTATCTAATTAGTAGTAATATTTAATAATACCATTTAAAAAACAAACACAAACAAATTGGGAAGAGGATTTCGAGGTCGACGAGTGATGATAACACTTCATGCTGAGATCATGCACCCGCAATAGTCCACGTGGCGCACATGAGAATGGGTTTGGTCGTCAACCATAGGATAGAGGGCCCACTTTTCTCTCTTCTTTGCCTTCATTTTGAGTTTTGTACCTTTGTACCCATTATTTTACCCTCTCTCATGTTTTTTATTAATTTTATTTTAAAGATATTTATACACTTTAGTAATATATTTTTGGATACATGTTCAACATTTTCGCTATGCCAACATTTTTTTTAGAAAATACTGTAGACAAAATGTAAGATTCAGTTAAAAAAAATTTAACACTCAAATTCGTAGACTATTACCACACAACTAAAATAGGATAATAATGTGTGTGTCAATTAATGTTTACCATATCACCTTATTAGAAACATTATAAAGTCAAAAACCCATTGTATTACACTTTGCTTATCTTTCAAATTAACGGGTGCCCTAGAGGTAACCTCATATTTAAACCACTAAAATATATATACATATATACTAAAATAATAAATGTGTCATTTAATAATGATTTAAGTATATACGAAGAAAACTTTAAAATTTATCAATCTTTCTCATATGCAGTCCCCCTCAAGTAGCAATCAATGGCTTTTTTTTTTATAAAATTGAGATCCACACAAACTCAAAGACTGCCCAAAAGATCAGAGAGTTCAACTGATTTCTCTTCTTTTGGACCCACTTCTCTCTCTTAAAATAATTGACTATCTATCGTTATTTGCTTAAAATAATTGACTGGTTCTTGTTATTATAATTATTGTTTTCACTGTTCTTAATATTAATTTAAAACTTACTAAGCAATTCATCAGAAGTCTTTTTTTGAAAGAGAAGAAGAAGAGCATAGCAGTAGGCAGTCCCAATGAATAGGAGTGTGTGGGTGCTCCTCAACTTTGCTTCAAAATTCTCCAAAGTTTTTAAAATCAAATAATTTCTGTATTTAATGAATTGTGAGCTTAATATTATTATTACTCATATAAAAGGGCAAAATGGTCAATACATAGATCACATTGAGGGGTTTGGATGATCTATTGCTTACGCTTACGCACGCACATGCCCACGCCACACGCGTGATCAAGAGATCTTTGTCTCCTTTAGTTTGTCCTCATTAACTATCGATCAAATATATTTTAATTTTCGTAATTTCAGACTAGACCATTTATGTTTATAGTATCTGTTTATATTGCTTGCATTTACATTAATGCATTAAAATATATAGAAAACTGGAAAGTTAAGGTGAGTATATACTATTCACTTATTCAGTGATCCAAACAGTATATCCAACAACATACAACGGAGTGAATTGAATTGTATTAAATCTCACATATTTATTGGATGATCTGGATGAATTAAATAGATTTAGAAAGTAATTTACTGAAATTTTATTTTATATAAACAATTGAGATATAAACAATACAAGAAATTACAGTTGGGTTGATTAATAAAACGAAGACACCAAAATTTAGAAAAACTAATCTTCATTTTAATAGTGATAGATTAAGCTTTTTAAAAAAAATAGAATTATCAGTTTCATCCCGGATCACATCTCAGATGCTGAAATTTTACATAAAATTAAATACAAAACAGAACAAAAATTTATTTTGAACAGAAAAAATTACCACTTATGAAAATTTTAAAAGTCAAATTATCATTCTAAAAAACATTTTTTTTTTGAATCTAACATATTTTATCGTTTTTAAAAGTCATTAAAAATTAAATTAATATAAAAGCTGTTAAAATCAGTCGAAAATAACTAGTTTTGTAAGATAACAATCACAAAAATAAGACTCAACACAAGCAAACAAATAAACAAAAAATACTAAGATATAAACAAATATGACAAGGCCAAGGTGTACTAATGTCTTCAATTAACAGGGACTACGTGGTGTTAATAATTGAGAAGTGTGAAACTGGCACTAACAAAAAGAAAAATACAGAAGCAATGAATCAAACAAAAACTTAGCGATGTTAGTTATAAAGCAAAGCCTTAATTAATTTAACTTTAATCAGTGGATAAGAGGAGAGGGGATTGGACATACTGACATAGCTTGTGTTAATTTTTTGTCTGCAGTAAATGTAACCATCAGACAAATCTGAGTTAGGCAAAAGTCAAAGTCAAACTCGTCAAAGCCTTTCATACCCACATGCCCACATCTTGTTCTATCATTTTTTTTTCCAAAATGCTTTCGTTCTTATCTATATATAATTCTTCTATTTTTTTTTTTTTTAATGTAGCATGAGTAAAAAAAACAAGGTTTGCGATATATCATCTTCTTCCGGAGAAATCTCCAAATAAGAAGAAGTTGGGGAATGAATTCGTAAGAGCCACGTCTCTTGAAAGGATAAAGCAAACGCCGTTTTAGTCTTTGAAACATTTTTCTTCTTCAAATATTGTAAGCCACTGTTCAAATTTGACACTGAACAACATACAGCTTTTGGATGCGCTAAATGTTTTAAAATGTAAGGGAAAAAATAGGATAAATATGAATACTCGTGGAAATCAATCCACGCAATCTAAAAAAGAAGGATAATTTTTTGTTTCACATCACACATCATATCCAACACATAAAAGCTTGTTAGTGGAAGTCCTATGAATATGATTCTGATTTTACAATTCTGCTTATTATTTTTTAAAAATAAACAAGTTTTAATCTATTACTATTGTTATTACTATTGTTTGATCTCATCAAGTATCCATAAGATTTGACTAATCCCACTCCTGATAAGACCTAATTATTACACAAAACAATAATGATTCCTATATCCAAGTTTATCATACTAATCTTCCATAAGATGGAGATAAAAATAACATGAGACAAGGCCCTTATCTGCTACGCTCCAAGATATGTTTTTACTCCAAAAAGAAAAGATAAATGTGGTGAAAACGAGATGTATTATCTGGACAGAAAAAGCGAGATGTATAGTGAGGTCACAAGCAAAAAAGCTATAATATGATTTTGAATTTTGATGTTAAAAAACTTTAACACGACTCCTAAGTGCTAAGGCCTGACGCCTGAGTAGTGATGTCCCATTAAGAATCACCTTCAAGTTTCTGGGAAGTTAACAGTTAAAAAGTATGCTTTTTCAAAGAATGAGGTTATCATATAACACGTGCAGTTGCAATTTCAAATCTTTGATGTCAAAATCATGAGAATAGATTTGACAATTTTAGAATGATATTACAATCCAAATCGAATCCAAAACGTGTGTAAGCGTGGTTTTCTTTCTTTTTATATCTAAGATAAGGTTACCCAAATATTGCAAGAATAACCTAATCAAGTAAAAAAGATAAAAAGAGAAAGACACATTTTTACCTTTAGAGGTTTAACCTTTTCTGTCCATTTTTTTCCATATTTCTGATGTAAATAAATAAGGGAAATAAACTCCGCATTAACTTTACATCTGTCGACTTTACTGCACGCTGCTTAGCTAATAGCTACCTTACAATAGTTATGGTTTCTACAACGTACAAAATTACAAAATTAAATAAGTGTCAGTAAATGTGTGGTCTCTAATAGAAAGAGAGAGATAGAAAGAGAGAGATTAAAGAATACCTGAAAGGCTGAAACGGAATCTAAGTCATGAGACAATGACAATACCAGACTGCATGAGATGATGAAACAGGAAAAGAATTATGAGAGTAAAATGGTTTTTACTAGACTTAAAATGCTTGTGAAAAAGTTTTTCCTTACATCGTCTACTATGAATCGGTCTATGCTACTAAGTTGCGGTTGTAACCATTCAAGTGAATATGCCGACAAACTTTGTTTTCCCGTTTGCAAAGACTGATGATCACCTGCAGAGATCATAGACTCATTGAACAAAGACACAGAGAGAAAGCAAACGAGCTAAACGAATAGAGCAACAAATTATATCTAACCTGATTTCCTTATGATTATCTTATGTGTCACAAATGCCTGGAACGACCACAATGGAGGGTTATTGCGAAAGATTCATCAAAGCAATCGATGAATTTGGCAGATTTTTGGAGCAAAAAACTCAATCTTGAAATGGTAAGTGTGTATAAGATAATCTACAAAGCGTTCTAAGAAGAGGCTTTTGGGGTTCACATCAGAAATTGACCTGCCAAGTAGAAGGCATGAATTCACGAAATGGAGGTTGGTGAGCTCTACTTGAACTATTCCCTGACAAATCGTCGTTTGAGGAGAACTTCCTGAGAGTTGTAAGAAGTTAAAGATCAAGCAACTCTAAGAAAAAAACACAAAAAGGCGCCGCATTCAAAGCCTCTGTGATTAACCAACTGACCGACTATTCTCATTTGTGGAGTACTTTTCTTCGTAAATTGTAGTCTTAGTGGCAATCACTACCAGTGAATGCACCTGAAGTAACTTCTTCATCTCTTGCACAATCGTCTCCACCACATTTGTTAGGGAGAGACTTTTCCTATATACCAAGGATACACGCCTCAGATAAAAAAAAGGCATCAAAACCAAAGTTTCCAAACTCTTCAACGTGCTGAATTAAGTAAGCTAAAAGAAACCGGTTCTAATTATACAGTAAGAGAGAAGCTGTGTCCTTACACTGTTACCTGTTATTTGTCTCTAATGCCAATGATGATGATAGACGATCAGTCCAGTGGAAAGCCCCGATGCTGGTGAAAAAATTGCAAGATAGTTAGCTCAAATTCGTGCTGTCTGTCTGCTGCTAGATAGTAACAAGAAATAGAACCCTACACAATGCATCAGCGAAAGAAAGATTGGACTAGGAAACTTTACGTATTCTTAATCCCTATATCGAATTAGTTTCAGCATTTGGAGAACAGAAATGGGATGGAATGGTCCTGGAACTGGAAGGAATCTAAGAAGACAATAGCATTTGTAGATCCAAACGAATAAGAAACCAGCAGAAAAACCTGTCAATCATAAGCACTCCGACTTGGCTTCCACACGCTTCCTGCTGTCGGATTCTGTAATGCAATGTCTGCAACGCAATGAGATGATGACAGAAACTCTGTTTTTAACAGAATCCAACACAAAGTGATCCTTCAACAGACAATGAAAACAATACCTTGAGGCTGGACAAAAGCTCGAGGCTATCATAGCAGCGAAGATACAGGAACCTTTTCATGCATGAAACATATAAATCCTCATCAAACAAAGTCTTTGACTTGTCTTGTGCAGATGTGCAAATTCTAACATTTGACTCTTCAAGTTGCCACCATGTTCCATTGCCTAACCCTGATACGCTGAAAAAACTACACTCAACACCATCTCGATTTATATATGACTCAGATTGATTGTCTCGATTTCAAAAAATTTTGAACTTATCAATTTCGCCCACAAGACCACGATTATAGAATCCGAAGCAGTCTACTTAAACTCGACAATTCAAAAGTAAGACGGAATGAAAATACAAATTTTTGCATACGGTTAGCTTGGAGAAGACGATGCTTGAGCATTTCAGATAAACGCAGCACATCAAAACGGCAATCGAGATCGACAAACAAAACCAATTTTCCTAATCCTCCATAGTGAATGCCGTTCCACGTCTTCGGAAGAATGCAACTGATAGCAGCCTGAATCAGGATCTGAGTTTTCGCTGACGGAGACGCGCCAGTGATCTCCACTACGTTCCCGGCACGTAAAGGAACACGGTGAAGAGGCGGAAGAAGCAGGAACGCACGGTCTCTAAGAACCCTAGACAACATCTGCTTCGCAGTCTCGTCACCGCGAATCCAACCACAACCTCTATCTTCTCCCATCGCCCCTGACAATTCCGGCAGGCGTGGATGTCTCGGTGACTAGCCGGAGTTCATGGCGTATTAAATATGGGCCTATATGAAGATTACCAATGGCCCATTTGAGGCATACACTCGGCCCTAATATGAGCCGAATAAAAAGTAAATTTAGGTCTAATTTAGGCCCAAAGACAAGATACATGGGCCAAAAAAAGATCCATGAGGCTTTTATGCGCTTTTAAGACGAATTCGTATGGGTCTTATATGGGCCAATTAAAAGTTTGTTATTAGGCCTATAGTAGGCCGCAGATGAGATATTAGGGTCTTATATGGGTCCATGAGGCTTTGTATAGGCCTTTTCAATGAATTCGCATGGGCCATATATCGTGAGAGGAAATACGCGACACTAATATGGCCCGATTAAAAGGTTAATATGGGTCTAATAGTAAATATTTGGGCCAAATATGGGTCCATGAGGCTTTTTTGGGCCTTTAAGACGAATTCGCATGACCCATATATGGTGAGGGAAACACGCGGGCCTAAATGGGCAGAATAAAAAGTTGTAAGTAGGCCTATCATGGCCTTAATAGTAGAGACTTGGGCCTAATATGGTTCATGAGGTTTTTAATGAGCCTTTACACGAATTCGAATGGGCCTGATATGGTGAGTGAAATATTTTCGGGCCTTATATTGGCCAATAATTAAGCATGGGCCTGATATGTGTCTCTATGATTATATGGGCCTGAAATAAGAGTATACGTTAGCCTTTATGAGGACTCTATTGAAACAGAATCAATATGGGGCAGAATTAATTTTTAAGAGCCCACAACAGTATAAATATCATTTATTTTCAGTTTAGGTCCATGAGGCTTTTACGCGCTTTGAAGACGAATTCGTATGGGTCTGATATGGGCCAATTAAAACTTATTATTAGGCCTATAGTGGGCCTCAGATGAGATATTAGGGTCTTATATGGGTCCATGAGGCTTTGTATATGCTTTTTAAATTAATTTGTATATATCGTGAGATGAAACACGCGACACTAATATGGCTCGATTAAAGGATGCATTTGGGTCTATTATGGCTCTAATAGTAGATATTTGGGCCTATTGTTGGTCCATGAGGCTTTTTAGGCTCTGAAAACGAATTCGCATGAGCCATATATGGTGAGATGAAACACGCAGGCCTTAATGGGCCGAATAAAAATTTGTAAGTGGGGCTATTTGGGGTTTTATAGTAGAGACTTGGGCCTAATATGGTCCATAAGGTTTTTTAGCCTTTAACACGAATCGCATGGGCCTTATTTGGTGAGTGAAATACACACGGGCCTTACAGTTGGGCCTGATATAACCTATAAGTAGAGGAATAAATACCGTTTAGCTCAATATGGCTCTATAAGTAGAAATCTATGAGGGTTTTTTTGGGCCTATAAAATATACGCATGGCCCTGATTTGCGTCTCTATGATTCATTACTATTTATGGGCCTATAATAAGAGTTTACGAGGGCCCCATTGAAACAGTATGAATATGGGACGAATTATATTTTAAGAGCCCAGAATAGTCGTAATATCATGTATTTTCATTTTAGTCCTTATATTTCGTGTCATTATCTACTTGTTTCCTTTTCTTCTTCTTATTGTATCATATACCCTTCAATCTGTTTCTCATCATCATCTCTGTAAATCAGTCTGTGTAATCTTTTTGGCCTGGTTAATACCTTTCAACGAAGTTATCCATGGATTTAGCGAAGCATTTACCAGTGTTTTGTGTACGATTTCCACAAAAAAATAGGAATTACAAGTTGCAGTAAAGTATATAACATATACTTCTTTTGCAGTTACGGTTAGTAAATGAAAAAAAAAAAGACAAGTAAGTTGAGTCATCAGATGTTCTCATTAGACATCAACTATGTCCACATGATTTACAAGGTAAAAGGGCTTGAAGGTGGCTGAATGATTGGAAGTTTCGACATGGTTACATTACCAGAAATCACATTTTGCGCAATCGTATCCTCCAATGGTATAGGATCAACTCGCATTACGTTCTCTGGTATAACCTTCTCTCCATCAACCTTAGCAAGAACCTCAAAGTGCATTCTCATCTTATCGGGCTTTGTTCGCCATTCTGGAAAGTTTAGTCCTTCAAGATCACTTGCCCTCAGCTTCCTTTCTACACCAAACCCAATCTTCATAAAGGTTTGAGCCGCGACATCCGCTTTTAATACCTTGAAGGAACCTTTTTCCTGAGATTTGAGACCCAAAACAGAGGTCAATAGCTTCTCAAAGCCGAGTAAATTAGCGTTCGAGCCATTAAGTGAAGTGATTGGCCACATGGTTGTAAATTCTCTTGGAGTAAGAACAGTAGTAGAAGCGCCACCAATTGTTGAGACACTACTACTTTTGTCCTTCGACACTGAGGATAGTTCCACAAGTCCAGGCGCAAGACGCCTGAGCTTGAGTTTGTCGTCAGGAGATTGTGAAGCAGTTGCAAGAGAAGTAGGACCAACAATGCGGAGGGAAAGAAGTGGAGTTGCTTGATTAGTTGAAGCACGTCGAAGCTGCTCAGCTAAAGAGATTAATCCAGAGGCAAATTCATTGGAGCTTTGGTTTAATGGAAGTTGAAAATCAACCGGATGGCGCAAACTAACTGATCTAGCTCCTTTGACAGTTACAACAGCACCATCTGCTAACATCACTTTCTTCAAAACACCAGCTTCCACATCATACTGCAGATGTTTGACAGATAAATCAGTAAAACAAAACCAATCTCCATTGTTCAAAACATAAACCAATGGGATAAGTCTTTAACTTACAGGCAATGAAAGACGCATATTGTTTGCATCTTGGATCCAAATTTCCATGGGACCAGCAAGTTGAAACGGAGCTAAAACAGGTGAAACATCACTAGACTTCTTCTTCTTGCTCATAGGAACCAAACCATTTTCATCCAGAGCTCCATTGGGTTGTTCTATTTGGAAAATTGGGAGATCCACATATTCCCATCGGTTCACATCTTCAAGAAGCTTGATTGGAAGAACTTTGTTGTCGATTTCTAGATCAAATTCATATGAAAGAGCATGCCCTACCAATGCATCCCTAACATCAAACCCAGAAATCTTGACTTCTTCTGATTGGAATCCAAGTCCCTTCACAATTGCTTCCTTCAAATCCTATCAAACCAGAAAATTCCAGAGAGCATGAAGTCAGGAAAAAAATGATCAAATTTCCTATTTGAAGAGAAAACAAAAAGGGAAAGACTTTGATTGACACCGAAACCAGATATTTTTGTTAGGGTTTGAACTAAACGATTTACGAAAAAGGGTATGACATGCTTCTTCAATCTCTATAATCTCAGAGCGACCAAACAAAGACAATTACAAATCCAGAAAACCAAAATATGAAAGATAAATTTCTTACCGAAATGGCTTTAGGGTACGGAGGATTAGCCTCAGGAGACGAAATCAAAGCTCTCGACGATGGAAAAATTGTGAACAAAATCAGAAACAGAGCTCCGGCACAAACCAATAATCTGCGACCCATCATGTATCGAAAAAAGAAAAATCAAACCCTCGAGATATAATTCCGAGACCAAAAGCCCTTGAACTGGTTAATTGCGAAGCTGCGATATAAATAATCACACATAAGAAGAAGAAACGAAATTCGAGGCTCAGGCTTTTTGATTGCGCAAAATTAGAAGGGACCAAAATCAGGAATTGTTCTTTTGGTTACTACGCATAAGAAGGATGTGGATCGTTCTGGAGTCTTTTATATGGCGTATTCTCAAGGGAAGGGATGATGACGTGGATGATACTAACCAATAAGAATGAAGAGAGTGATGTGGCGGGAGATCAAAGATGTGTGACGTGGAGAGTAGTTTTACACGTAACGCCGCCGTTTTAGTCTCTTTAATTAATAAAAAATAATGGCTTCGCCCGGGTTCGAACCGGAGACCTTCAGTGTGTTAGACTGACGTGATAACCAACTACACCACGAAACCTTTGTGCTTATTATTGACGATAAAATATTTATTATAGTAAAATAAATATGATGTATCACTAATTTATTTTACTATAATAAATATTTTATCGTCAATGATAAATACAGTCCAATGTCAATATGCATACAATGTCAATTCCTTGTGCTGCTCACACTCATACAATATGCATTCTAATGCATATCCTAAGATAATTTCGTTTGAGAGTTCAACTCATTCCTTGATTTTCACTTTATAAGAATTTATCGTTGCTATTTGAATGGAATGGAAGAAAAGTAAAATAAAATAAATTAAAAATTAGGAAACGAAGTTGGTCGGACCAACCAATAATTATTTTATCAAATAAACATGTGTATAATCCTTCTTTAAACATAAAAACAAGTGGAAGAAAGAGAAACGGACATAACAAAAGGAGTCAGTCAGTGAAACGAAAGGCCACACACTAGTCTCTAGCTAGATATCAATCACAGACACAAACCCACCCGAAAAAACAAAACTCGATCCTCCACGAAAATGGCAGCCACTAGAGTGATAACAACAGCTGCGTCGTCCGCCAGCCAAACGACATCGTGTTTATTCACAAAGCGACCATTTCTTCTTCCGACGCAGAAAGTCTGCGGCTTTAACGGTCTCTGCTTCAATAAGAGAGCCTTAGTGGTGAAATCGAAGAGACCCTTCTCTTGCAATGCCATTTACAATCCTCAGGTCCAGACAACCCAAGAAGGCCAGTCCGAAACCCTAGATTACAGAGTTTTCTTCCAAGATGGATCCGGAAAGAAGGTAATATTCTCTGGTTTTTGTATCACTTTGTTCTGATTGGTGTGAAATGTATCAAGGAATCGAATTCTTTATTGAATTATGATATTGGGAAATTTTCTTCTTCTGATTTCTTCTGCGTGGTTTTGGTTAGGTATCTCCATGGCATGATATACCATTGCATTTGGGAGATGGAGTTTTTCACTTTATAGTGGAGATTCCTAAAGAGTCAAGTGCAAAAATGGAGGTTGCTACTGATGAAGCTTTCACTCCTATCAAGCAAGATACTAAGAAAGGGAAACTCAGATATTATCCGTAAGACAAGAGAATTGAAAGCCATATTTTTTTGCCTTTGCATCATCTTGTGGATCATTAGAACGAGTAGCTTTTCTTGTTTTTGGGTTATATACAGTTACAACATAAACTGGAACTATGGATTGCTTCCACAAACATGGGAAGATCCAACTCAAGCAAACTCTGAAGTTGAAGGTGCTTTTGGAGACAATGATCCAGGTAAAAAAGATTTGGGTTTCTGGATGGGTTTCATTCCAGAGCTAAGCTAACTTTTGGGTTCATCATGTTTGTTTGTAGTTGATGTTGTTGAGATTGGTGAGAGTCAGAGGAAGATAGGTGAGGTTCTAAAGGTAAAGCCTTTAGCTGCTTTGGCTATGATTGATGAAGGAGAGCTGGATTGGAAGATTGTTGCGATTTCTTTAGATGATCCTAAAGCTCATCTTGTGAATGATGTTGATGATGTCGAGAAACATTTCCCGGTATGGCCTCAAAGAAGCAAGATTCATGTCTTATGTAATCCCCCATAGTTTTCTGACTCTAGATGTTGCTCTCAGGGTACTCTTACAGCTATTAGGGATTGGTTTAGAGACTACAAGATTCCAGATGGAAAACCTGCTAACAGGTTTGGTCTTGGAAACAAACCAGCAAACAAAGTAAAGATCCTTTCACTCTTTACGTCTTTTTTTTTTTGTAGATCGATTTTAAGGGAGCTTATTCAGGTTTTTGTGTGTTTACAGGATTATGCTTTGAAGATCATCCATGAGACGAACGAATCATGGGCTAAACTTGTTAAGAGATCAGTTTCTCCTGGAGATCTTTCACTTTTCTGAAACAGTTAAAAAGATAAATCTCTCGGAAATCATTGAGCTCAGTCATATTTTGAAACAGAGTTATTACCCTGTGACAGTTTGCTTCTTTTTGTTTTGATACCATTTGAAACAATTGAGATTTTTTTTTTTCTGGTGAAAGAAAGAAGAAATAACAATCATATTTCTGTTGTGTTAGAAAAACATTTTCTTATGTCTGAATCTGTAATACTAACTACAACAGAGGAACAAGACGTAGTATACAAATGAAGGTAGTTGTTTATGTTCAAGGTACACATACATATCTTTGTACAAGACAGTAGAGAAAGAGATAAATAAATCATATTCTTATAGTGACATTTGAAGTTTTTGTCTCATGCTTCCTCTAGAAGAGGTGCAATGGTTGATTCTCTAGTCACTGCATCAGGCTCGGAATCTTCGTTATATCGATCCACACTATTCAGGAAAATCCCTGTAGAGTCACAAACGCAGCAAAACCATTATTTCCACATTAAACTAAAAAACGAAACTTTTGATTTTAGAATTCCCGGTGTGGCTTAAAACCGAACCTATGCACCAAATCGCAGCAGCTGGAAATAGAACAAACGTAAGAACAAGAGAAGTCACTCTCCAATTGTTCACGTAGTCCTGCATGCGCAAATGAGAATAAATACAGTGATGGGCTCAAACTAATCCAGATGAAGAAAGTGCACTGAATTGAAACTTTATTTGATTAAGACATTGGAGGGCTTGAACCAAACCTGAAGAACTCCAACGAGTGGTGAGGAAGGAACGTCTCCAAAGATGTGGATAGAGACAGTAGACATGGCCATTGCAAGTGGTCTCAAACTTGGTTTGACACAATGGAGAACTATGAAATTCACAGGACCCTAAACATCATAAAATATTAAAAGAGGTGGATTTGTAAAACATAACAATGATAAAAAACGTAAGAGAATCAAGTATTTGAATAATGGAAATCCAGATTACCTGTGTGGCAAAGACGAGAAGTTCACCAACAGCAAACAGAGCTAAAAATGCATACATGCTCTTGAAACAGAAAGCAACAAAGCAAAATAACGCTCCTATAAATGTTGAAACTGAAAGAAGCTGCAACATACAGAAACACGCGATCAATTACTGGTTTAGCAAGATGAACCACAAGTTGTAGAAATTAATTTCTAGGAATGGGAAGTTTCTATCCATGGGACTTGAAGGGTTTAAAATTTGAGATTAGTTTCTCTTATAAGTGAGGATTTTACCTTGAAGGCATTTGAAATTGTAGCATCCATGAAATCTAAAACCACTCCTCCTGACAATGTGCCAACGATTCCACAGATAACTGTGATCCCTCCAAATATCATATCAGCGTTTTCCTGCAGACGGATAGAAACATCAAGCTATATACTTTTAACACCTGGAAACGAAAACGTTCAAGTAATTTCTTACCATCTTGTATATGTTATAGCCTGCCTTTGGCCCCCAATACGAATATGCGCCTAAGACAAAATTGTAAGCAATATACCCTGAAAAAAGAAAGAAAACAGTTACAGGTAAACAACAATCATACACGGACACATATGCTTAAAGTTGTTTAACACACAAGAAGAAAAAATGGTTACCAAGTATGTTCGTAACATAAACCTTATCTCCCAAAAGTAGTTTCAAATCTTTCATTACAGATGAGAACCCATCGCCGGTTGGCAAAGCGTTTAAGTTATCTGTCCGGGTTTTTCCTGCATCATCTGGAGCGAAACCTGAAGGTACAAGATTCATTAGAAATAGATCAAGTCCATCAACAACATAGTCTGTGTATGTGTGTGTGTATGTTTTGCAACTTTGAACACGCACCTTTCAAATGCAAGGGTTTGATAACAAAACCAAGAACAGCAAAAGGAAGCATAATTATTGCTTCTCCCCAAAATGCAGCACGCCACGGAAGAACACTCCCCACCTACAGGAAAATGGAAAGAGTGAAATTGAGTCATTGGCGGTGATGTAAAACACCAAAACCATTTAGTCAGAATATCGTGACATAAAATTAAAAAAAAATAAAAAAATAACTCACCAGTCCACCATATACATAGCCAAGAGCATAGCCTGTCGGAATACACATGTAGAACATAGCAAGCCACGCAGATTTCTGGTTAAAACAAAATCAACAGTGCCCAGTGAATAATCAGACTGTAAAACTTAGTTATATAATTACCATCCTTCTCTTCTTTCTAAAAGAATGGATCGAGTGAAGAATTACATTCCAGAAGCAACTACCTGATCACGTGGGGCATTATCGTCGATAAATGGAGCAGCGAGGCTTACAAATGATGCCTCACCAACACCGACAAACCTAAATAGGGTGGCAAAGGTAAGTAACAGAATATGTATATGATTTTGATTATATAATACGAATGACATAATTGAAAAGTAAATAGAGACTACACCTACATACGACAGAATGTGATGGACCAAAAATCAAACGATAAGCCGCAGCCAATCACAGCAAGAGTCCAGATCGATAATCCAATTCCGATTAGTCTAAACGGATTAACACTGCAACACAGAATTATAGGTCAGAAAAAAAAAAAATTCAAGATAATGGGATATATATTCAAAGTGAATAAAGCTGATGCCTTTGTACTCAGAACTTTGGGAAAACGAGTACACACCTCTTTGCTACTGAAGCAAATATAGGAGAGGCCACAAGAAGCCCAACCATGAAGGCAGATGACAAAACTCCATCTTCAAAATTGCTCAAGTTGAAATCCCCCCTGAGTTGGACAAACCATGGGCATTATAACTAAACAACCAAGAAACCCTATACCGATATATTCAGATTCCCATGTTCTTTCACACAATATTCTACATTCTAAAGGTATATGATAAATGATAAGCTTAAATTCAAAATTCGACTGAAGTCACATTATACTTACTGTATTCCGCTGCCAGCTGAACATGTACCACTCGAGGAGCAAGAACCACGACTCCCATTGATACCATTGCTTGCTATAGCTCCTCGATCAATATAATTTATTAAGTTGACAACACAAAACACAAAGAGAAGCCTGCAGATATAGCCAAAAAATAAACACAAGAAATAAGACTAAATCAATGATAAGCAAATAGAAACACTCCCATGATTTTTCGGGTTCCCAACAGTTCAAGGAATGAGAAATTGCGGAAAATAAGTCCGCCGATGTTTTGTTTTGTTCATATCCAAAACTTCCCAAATTTTTTAGCAATATACATTACAGAGTTATACAGCAACAACAACTGCATCATCATGCCCATTTAATGACAAATTCTTATTCTGAGCTGAATCTATGGGTTGGTCTCTATCAATCTGCTAGTTCCAGAAACTTAAATTTGACCCAGAATTTGATTGTACAAAAGAAGACTGCGTTCGCGCAATTTTCGACAAAAACATCATCGACTTATAAGTTTCATTAAATGTCCTTAAATAGAAACAATTAGCAGATTGCAATCGAGAACAAAAATATTTCCTACTTCATTCACACTAAATCAAGCTTCTACATTTCGGTCAAATTTGACAAAAGGAACGGTATATTTCACCTAAGAAACATATACGAGGAAGAAACAAGAAAAATTACTTTTTAGGAGAAAACCATGAAGGCTGTGCGATATTGACTTTGGACGCATCTGAATCTCTCTCCATGATTCTAGGGTTTTGCCCGCGATCAACTTCTCCGTCAACATCCATGGGAAGCTCGGTTTTCTGAAAGATGCGAATTTTGGATATTCAGTGGGGGTATTGTTGTAATAATCGTTTAAGGAAATCAAAGAGTCGGTTAAAAAAAAAATAATAATAATTGTTGAAATGTCAGAAAATAAAATAATGACATTACTAAATTAATCGCGTGTGGGCTTCGAGGCCACTTCATTGAGCTTTCGTTTCTGAAACATGGAATGGAAGCAACATTGTGGAGAAGCTTCTCGGTGAAGATGAATATTTGCCTCTGCTTCTTATCATCATGGAGATTGACATCAAGTGTGATGAAGATAGGTTGGTGAGATTGGCTAAGGATGAATACAACAATACCCCCACTGATGCAACTTCTTCCAAACATCATTCCAACCATCAATTGGCATTCGGTCCACAATGTGCCGACGGAAAATTATCTCCTTTTTCGACTCTTCGTCTTCTTCTCCTTGGGGCTCCCCATCTTTATAATAAGGCAAAATCACTGCAACAACAACAGCAAAACTTAAGCAAAAAAAACTTTCAAGAAAATTCGACATTATATATCATTGGCATGATGAAACTTTCTGTGACTTTGAACCTGATATCGTCTGTCCGTAGTTTGAATACTCCATGTATTGAACACTGTTGGAATCTAGCAGTTTCACAAAATCGCTAAAATTGATCCGGTGAGAGTTTTCAGGATCCTATTCTGTTCCTTTTAACTTCCCACGCATCGTTAACAATGTTCTACTCCAATTTGAAGCCATCACAAGCTGCCTTTCTAATTATACATTAGCCTTTCTCTCCAGCTCTTCCATGTTGCTAATCTCTGGAAAATCCAACAAACGAATCAAAGCTTTTAAAGTCAAAAAGGAATGAGCTGATTCTACACTCCTTACAGGAAATCTACTAGGGTATGATTCAAAATCGTAGTCAAAAAAAGGAATTAGCTTTCAAGCCCTTCACTGGAATATGACAGGGTCTTAAACGCAGGTTTTTGATTCCTCGAACCCAAGAATTACCCCTGTCTATACAGCATACTATTTTGAAACTGGAAATGAAGAGAGAGATAAACCTCAAATAGACGGTTCGACTCAGCATCTTCTTCCAGTGGAGCGGAAGACTCAGTGGAGACCTACTGCAAGTAAACAAAACATTTCTTCGTGAAGGAAACAGATTGAATTTGGAAGCTAATTTAGCTTCCGCTGGTTTTCGGACCAAACTAGACAGAGAACCAGGAAATTGAACAGGGAGGAGGGTTTTTAAAGGGTTTAAGAAATTTCGGGAAACGGCTTTGGACTTAGCGAACTCGAGTAATAGAATGCCATTGTTCAATCATCAGAGTAGGAAATTTTTACCCTCAAATTTTATAGAGGTGAAAATTTGAAGTCTGTGTTTTTGGGTTCTTCACGGGGATGGATTTGGAAGAGACGGACGAAAACGCTCCGTTTCACATGATTAGATTTTACTGGTACTCTGCTCCCTGAACCGGACATCACCGGTTCACTTATCAAACCCGACTATTGGAGATACAGCGATTTTAATACCCAACTGGTGCGCTTGAAACGGTGCATTTGAATACAGTACAAGTAAGTTTGGAAAAGGCGATTGAAACGGTGCGTTAAGATGTCTGATAATAAGAGAATTGCACCGGTTAAAAAAAAACAAATATCCTAACCGGAGACTATTAGATTCGAATTTTCGGTCAAACAGTAATGTTGATGCCAAACCTAGCGAGCAAAAACGGCCCTTCAATCTTTGATGTTGGGAGGAAAAGACCGTTGTAAATCTGTGTTCATGGTTTGTCCAATATACATAATATCAAATGTAATTAGTATTGGTTTAGAGTAAACCGGTTAATACGGTTCATGTGTAATCTCTTTATTTGGAAAACTGTTTGTAACAGAATCATTAAGAGAAATAACAAACTTTTGCTCATCTTCTTCTTCGTCTCTCTTGTTTCCTAAAACATAAAAAAAAAATGTTGAAGCATTACGAAACCAACTAAGGATATCTTTAACGGAGAGTCTACCAACGTTTTTAATAAAAACTAATTAATAAAAAATTGGGTCCACGTCTCTAGTTTGGCAGAAACGTTTCTTATTTGGCAACTTTTGGAAACGTTTCTACCCACACGTGAAATTGGAAAAAAAAATTTCTCGTGTATCTTCTTTCATTTCTCCGAAAGTTTCATTTTTCCAATTTGCTCCCTTCTTCGACGAAATCAACAAGAACAGGATTTGTCTTCGACATCTTCTTCGACCGTGCGATAAGAGTGCAAAAGCGAGAACGATCAAGAGAAGACGAGACAAAGTCCGATGATAAAAACCCTAGGGTAAAAGAAGAAAAAGAAGTAGAATCAATGGGGAACGGAAAAAAAACAATGGATGAAATCATGAAAGACCTAATTTCAAAGCTCGAAAAACTGGTAAAGACGGTGGTGTGTATATATATAGAGACAGCCTGTCATTTGATGACTGAAGACGGTGGTGTGTGTATAATTGTTGAAATGTCATTAGAATGTAATAAAAAAAAAAACATAATATTTATGACGAATTACTACTATTACTATTAGCTTTCAAATGAGACATATTTTTTTTTTGGTCTGATTTCAGAAACATAAACGTAGGTTCTTCGCACCATAAAATAAATGTTCCACAACTCGTTGTTGTGATCAAAACAAGGTTGTTTAATATATGTATAGTTTAAATACACGTATTTACATCTTTACTTTTTTAACTGATTTTGTGGTGTGGGGGTTCCTTTAAAGAATGACTAAGGCTTAGTTGAGTTTGAGCTGTTGTTTGTGGATGCGTCTTTAGCAGGAACTAAAACATGGGAGTTGTAATAATCTTCAAAAGATGATAGATCCATAGATACTCCTTTTTTCTCAGAAGCTGTCTTCACGAATTGACTTATAGCTCGAGCCCATTTCACCATAGACCATGTCAGTTCTCTCTTTTGTTCAAACGTTATCTCCTTCAAGCCGCTATTCTCCATTTCAACCAAAACTTCTCCCATTGACAACAAGCCATCGACCAACCTCCACGGATCCTATTATCACCAGAACAGAGAAAAACTATATATATTTAACATGATCTTATTCATTATAAATTAAAAAACGAACATGCTCATATATCGTAATCGTATAAATGTCTAATTTAGCACTTACTGATGTTCCAATTTTGGTACCATTCAATGCAGACGAAGCAATGAAGAGTTTCATAGCTTTATCCGTAATATTAATGCTCTCTATTGAATATGATTCATCAGGTGATAGCGTCTTGAAGCCGGCCATGTAATCATTCAGCTTTGCAAAGAAATCTTTGAACTCTACGTTTGCAAGGCACTTAACCTCTAAGTCGCTTACGAAATCTGACATACCTTTGTAAGCGAAAGGCTCAAAATCTTTGCCTATTTTGGGGAAGTTTCCCAAATAAAGGGGTAATGAGAAGGACTCTTGTGTTTTATTGCCAACTTCTTTGGAAAGAGATAGATATGTAGGACCGATATCAATATCAAACTGTGATAGATCGATTAATTTTCCATTGATCTCGGAGACCGTCTTCACAAATAGACCAATCCTTCTAACCCATTCAGTCATAGACCCCAACAATTTGTCCCATTGTTGAGAAGATATTTCTTTCGAAGTGCTCTTCTTCATTTCAACAGAAACTTTTTCCATTGAAACCAAGCCTTCGATTAATCTCCATGAATCAAACTATCGCAAAAGAAAAGAGAAAAAACACACACATTATCTTTCTCATTATAAATCATAAAAAAACATGCTTGCTCGCATGCCATATAATTGTTATTATCTAAATGAAACTTACTGATGTTCCCTCTTTAGTACCATTCAATGCAAACATAGCCATGAAAAGCTGCTGAGATTTCTCTGATATCTCGGCTTGGATGTTTATTGGTCCGGATGATGCTGGTTTAAAGCAATTTGATATGTAATCTATCAGCTTTGTAAAGAAATTTTTGAACTCTACGGTTGCTGGAGACTTTCCCTCCAAGACACCTGCGAAATCCAGCAAACCTTTGGAAGCGTAAGGCTCAAAGTCTTTGCTCATTTTAGGAAAGAGCTCCAAATAATCAGGTAATGAGAACGTCCCTTGAGCTTCTGTTTCATAAACATCACTTAATGCAACAAGTAACATTAGACATAACGCTATTGAGATTTTTGCCATTTTATTCTAAAAAAAGAAACAAAGTGATTTTATGTTTTGAATGAATATGTTTTCTAGGATAACTCGGTTGGTTTATATAGATGTTTAAAAAGTCTAAATTGAACTACTAGATAGAATGAATGTAAAAAACTGGTCAATAAATTTAAGGCAACAAATGGTTATACATAGGAATTTTGTAGCAACTTCCATTGCTTTCCGCTTTTCTCTCGATCTATGATTAGAAAAGATCAATTTCGTCATCAACCTATATTTAACTAGAACGTGAGAATAGATTGATTTACACCACACTTACAAAGTTACAATGAACAACAATCTACATGTTAATAAAAGATATGCTGCAAGTATGAAACCGAGATATGTTGCAAATATTTTGGGATAAGATTTAATCTTGTTATCAAACAATTTGAAATCAGTATGAATCGTTAACGTTTTTAAACCGAGTTATCTCATGGTTTTAACGTAAGCTTTAGTGTAAATAACTGCATTTTGCATGCTTCCTTGCTTCAAACCTAGTCTAGCTAGTCTCATCCGTGTAATACCATTTGATCTCGCATGTGGGTGAAAAATGAAGAGTTGACTTTGCTTTTTTTATCGTGATGAAGATTGTCAGGTGTGGTGAAGATATGTTGGTGAGATTGGCTAAGGATGAGTACGGCAATGGTGTTTTGAAAAATAATAATAAGATTCATCATATACATATCGCTGAATCTAATTAACTACTTCTTATAAAAACTTACTTGGTCTTTCGAGTAGTTTATTTGTGATTTACGAACAATCTTATCTCATCATCAACAACTCCCCTATGTATTTAGATCCCATGTCTGATGATGATAATGACAAGAAAAATGCACATGTTAGGGGCCAGTTTGGCTGTTTATCTCGACCGATTTCCTGTGTGATTTGCTTTCTGAAGAATCGACAGTTTTAGATTTCAGCTCAAGAGACAAATTTTCAATTCTATATAAGTTCTCAGTGAATCTGGAAAACTAAGAACATACGTATCAACCAGTTGAGATATTTTCAGAAAAATAATGCAAAAACACATGATTTATAAAGAAGATTGAAGATTCTACTCAAACCCTATGATTCTCTTCAATCCAGGAAACAACCCAGAAAACGAAGACATGGAAGAAGAAGAAGAAGAAGAAGAAGAAGGCTCGATTGTTTTGTCAGAAACCAAACACTCTTCTTCCACCATGTCCATGACAGATCTAACAGATAATGGTTGAAAATCGACACCCCACTCATCTACAAACTCTCTTACCAGAACCGATTTCTCTTCTTCTCCCATCTTCCTCCATTTCATCCTCATCTCTTCCTCTTTCAAATCCGCATGCCGACAAAACTCTCCCCATAGAATCTCACCGCTCTTCTTCATCGCTTCTCGTCTCTGTTCCGCGACCGTGTTCGCTTTCCCGATTTCTCTAGCCAAATCCTTGGCCAGCTCCGAATCGCTCATAGTCTTCTTCTTCTTCTTCTTAGGCTTCCTTGTCCTCCGGTTGCTGATGATGCCCTCGCCTTCTTCATCGTCTCTCCTTATGCACTGAATCCGGGTTACTGGTCGGGTCAACAGACGCCGATATTCGAGATTTCGATTAAAGGATGTGTTTTGGGGAAGAAGATGAAGTAATCTCAGCGACATTTTTCTGCTTCTCTCTTTCTCTCTCTCTCTCTGTTCTACTTTTATCCCGAATCCTTTATATATCAGTATCCGAGAGTCAACACTAATCGTCGTTTTATCGGATATTTACAATCTTTTCTCTCAAAAACACCACAAAGAAATGGTACAAAATTTCATCAATAACATGAATCTTTTAAGCCTTTCAGAAATGGAATAATCCTTGCATCACAGATTCACAATACAATAAAGGTTAAAATGTTTTGTGTTCTGTGAAGTATTTCTTGGGAAAGGAAGAACGAAATCCTATCAGAAAAAAATTTCATCAAAAAAAAAAAAAAAAGAATCATATCATTTACACAGTAAAAGATGAATCCTTTCAGACACATTTTGACTTTCCATGCCAAAGCAAGTCTCAGTTCTTGACTCAGACAATGTCTTCACTCTGTTTTTGAGTTACTGAGAATGAGTTCGGCTAAGATATCGACCCATGTGTCGGGAACACCAGGTAGGCACCAATGCATACAGTCTTGTCCCCATATGGCCACTGCGTCCTGTTTTCCTAACCAGATAGCAGGATGAGCATCTGCTCTGAATTCGCTTAGATGCGTCAGATCAAGTAGCTTGATCTCTGTGGTTTGCAACTCCTTCTTGATAATTTGGTTAATCCTTCTTGCTTCTTTGTTCACTCCGTCGTTCCTGGGATCAAACCACAAGTCAAGCTGTCTAGGTCTTAGGCATCAACATCACTTTTTATCAGGCGCAACAAAAAAAAAATTAATCGATAAACGGCATCTATGAGGAGAATCTAATCCAGGGAAGAAGCAAGAGAACTGAGATCGAGAAAACAGGGCTTGCTCAGCAAAGCTTGTTAACGGTACCTGGTTTTTGTCGAGTGGTTTATCGAGCAAACAACTTCCATTTTGGTTCCAATCACCGCCATAGAAATGCCTTGGTGATTGCAAGCGCCAGAACTTAAGGGTCTTTGCTGGAACTTCTTGTTGGATATAAGAAACCATATGTTGAAGAACCACTTTAAATCCTTGCAATATATCAAGAGGAGGATCTATCGGCTTTCCCTTTCGATAGAAGACAAGAGGTGTCTCTTGAGGAAACTTATCGTAACCCCACCTAAAACCAAAAACCAGACCCAAATACTCTTGAGTAATTTCTTCACAACGTTGTAAACACAGAGAGATAAAAAAAAATCCAATAGGTTAAGGATTATAATTGTTTACCAATGGCCAGAGTTGAATATGAGAACATCATAGAAGCTACTGACGTTGATCCACTCATCTGCAGGAACATCTACATCTACTCTATAAATTCCTTTAATCCCGTCTTGATTAGCTTCTGCAGAAGGTATCGGCTGCGACCTTTATCATATCAGTTTAGAAAAACATAAGGCTGGATAATTCAACATACACTATGCGTTTAAGTTCAACTCTGACATAAGAGATTCACAATCCAGTATATGGCCAAAAAGCTTTAATGGCATTCACAGCTGAATAAAGATATTGAGATTCTTCTACGGACTCTCAACATTTGCAAAACCACCAAACAAGCCTATATAACTCGGCAATCTCTTAACCCTTACACTGGGAAATTTACAAGATTTTCAAAGTATAGCAGAATACTTGGAAGTAAGAAAGCTTACTGATATTTTGCGAGAAGAACAGCTCTGTGATAAGCGACAGTGACATTGAACTTGCGGAAGTAAGCTCCACGCCAAGCCTTTTTCTTCTTCCACTTCACCGCACTCGGATCAGCCACTCTAAGTATGCACAGAAACGAAACCAAGAAATTCTCGTTCAGAGAATCCCCAACGAACCCAACGTTCTTGTTCCTCATCAGCCCTAGGAATCGGGTCGGGTCAATTCGACTCAGCCCGCAGCCATTGGGTACCCATCTCCACGAATTGATAACACCCATGTTTTCTCGCTTGTTCCGTAAGCAATTCCAAGCGTTTCGGTGGAATGGGCAAGTCTCGTCGTACATCGGTTTCGAAGTTTCTGGATTGTAGACCCATCGGCCGGAGAAGAAATCGCACGGCGGAGGAGACGCGAGGTTTGAAGTGATCGGACGACGGAGGATAGTGGAATAGAAGATGAGTAAGAGGAGAGAAACGAGTAAAAGACGTGGAAGAAGTGAAGATCGGAGCTTCGACGGCATCGTCGTGTAGCTTCGTCTGGATCCGAGCTCCATCGATTTACGCGCGATCTGAAGGAGAAGACGAAGGGTGTTCACTGCAATCTCGCGGTTCAACCCGACAGTTCGTTCCGGTTCGGTTAAAATTCTACTTCGGTTTTCGGTTTGATTTTCACTTGGTTTTGGGCTTTCGGTTTAAATTGATTTTCCTCAGGAGCTTGTTGTTTTGGTTATGTACTGTGACCAGATTTTCAGAATCTGAGATACAAAACTTAATGAATTGGTTGAATTAAGAAAAAAAGAAAAATATTATGAAGGGAAAATTGAAATTACTTGGATAGAGATGTGGATAATAATAATGGATGGTTCATATGTAAAATACAATTTTGGTTCCCATAGAGTTTTGTTTTGGCTTGGCTTGGCTTGGTTAATCATAAGAAGCGGACCCAGATGGTTTGAATACGTGGTTAGCAAAATTACCATTTTTGTAGAAACTTCCTTTTTTTTAATCGTTTCCATTGGTCCATTGCATGGCTCCAAAACAATTAAAGGATACAATTGAGGTCAAATCAATTAATTATTACTAAACTAATCAAAAATTTAATCATCTACTAATCCATTTCTCCTTCTCCTACTTCATTCCCATCTTCTCTCCTCTGCCTCCTTTGGTTTATCTCCACGAATCTCCTGTAAGTCAACATATGTGTGCATATATGAATATGTATATTCACGGCATCTATGTGAATGAGTAGTTGTGTCAAAGTCGCTTACTTTTCTGGGTTATATTGTAATCACAATCGCCTGCATTTTCACGCGTATTCTTCTTCACTTGTGTGATTTTGGGCGTTAGATTTAGTTCATTTCTCTGTTTAGCCACAAGATCTCATCGGCTTTTGTCATCTGTGAAAATCTTGTCTTTGATGGTTTGAGTGATTCTTTTGGATTTGAGTGCGTGTTTTATCTTTCCCTTCTGTTAGTTCAATTTTGTTTTTCTGTACAAAGTTACTTGATGATACCCTTTAGGTCTCTGATTCGGATTTTGTCTGAAAGAACGAAACTTTAGTTATAGAAGAACAGTGTGCATTTGCTTGCAATTTTTCCTTGCTAATGCAGAAAATTTTCATCTTTTTCATCTGATTTGAGATCAATGTTTGAATCAGTTTGCAGAAATGGAGACTGGTGCTGGTATAGGTTTGTACCCATTGCACCGCTGCAAAACCATCTACCTAGTGAGTGGTGTTTATCTATTCATTTGAGCTGAAATCTACGGTTTTGAAAGATTCAAGACAAATATCATTGTAGCCTCTAAGGTTTTGGGTTAGAAATTTGGGGCATGATATTGACTACTACTTTTCTTCAGGTGAGACATGCTCAAGGGATTCACAATGTTGATGGGGAAAAGAACTATAAGGCTTACATGTCTCATGAGTACTTTGATGCAGAGTTGACCCAACTTGGGTGGCAACAGGTACGAAGAAAGACCTCTTTAGTAGATGGTCAACAGATCTAACACTTCAATTTCAGTTCACTGTGAATAGTAGTTTCTCTTGGTGACAGGTTGATAGTTTGCGTAAGCATGTTCATTCTAGTGGACTTCACAAGAAGATTGAATTGGTCATCTCGTCTCCACTGATGAGGTACTTAAGACATGTGTTATTGCAAAGATCTTATGGCCTATCATAGGTTTTATTATGCGGCTGTTTGCCTACTTGGTCTTCCTAGTTAGACTTATTGGTTACCATTGTGTTATTTAAGTTCCTATTAGACTTGTGTCCTGGAATTCATCTGTATAATTTACATAGAAGAATGCAGATTTTTTTCTATCTTGAACATAAACTCCGTTTTTAGACGTTAAATTGTTAACCATGTTTTTTGTTTTATATGTAGAACAATGCAAACTGCTGTTGGTGTTTTTGGTGGAGAGGGCTACACAGATATGAGCGATGTACTACCTCTAATGGTAGCAAATGCAGGAAATAGCAGCCGTGCAGCTATATCGAGCTTAAACTGCCCACCAATTATTACAGAGGAGTCCTGCAGAGAACATTTGGTATGTCTTTCCAGTGTAATACATACTTAGCCTAGAGAGAAACTGAATTGTACAGAATTTCATTTATCCATCTTCACAATTATCGCGGATATATTTCATGTAAAAGCAGGTTTTGCAATAAATATTTAATTTTTATTCGCCACTTGGAGTGACCATGAAACATCCACTGTTTTCTAATATCTATAAAACATAGCTGTTGTTATTGACAACAATCTTAGATAAAAAGGAAAGAAGATCTATAATTATGCTTAACAACATCAAGTTTTCACCTTTGTGTTTTATTTTTTCTGGACACAGGGAGTGCATCCATGCGATCAGAGAAGAAGTATCAGCGACTATCAGTTTCTTTTCCCGGCAGTTGACTTTTCACTGGCAAGTAAAAATTGAGAGTCTTAGATGTGCCTGGCATTGATTATGACTTGTAATCTTCTGGTCGCTCAATTAAACTATTAGCAGCGTACGGCTCCACCAAGTGACTTATATGTGCATCAAATAATGACTCATTGAAATTTTCGTTCAGATAGAAAGCGACGAAGACAAGTTATGGAAGGCTGATGTTAGAGAAACAATTGAAGAACTTGCAGCTAGAGGGAAGAAGTTCCTGAACTGGTACTTTCTCTTTTATACCTAACCTAAATCCAGCATAAGATCTAGTAAAAGAATAGATAGTGCAGAACTTGAAACTGGAAAAAGCATCCTCTTATCTTCCTCGACATTATTAGTTTGATAAGTAGAAGTTGGCATCAATTGATCTATCAATCTCTGATTGAAGAAGCTTTTTGTATATTTCAATGTACTATCGTTCCGTGTAGAATGTGAGTGATCTACATTAGTCTTTTATCAGAACAGAGTTTGATGGCTGGTTTTGGATTTGTAGGCTATGGACAAGGAAAGAAAAAGAGATAGCGATTGTGACACACAGTGGTTTCTTGTTTCACACATTGAATGCACTACAAAATGAGTGTCATCCAGATGTTAAGAAGGAAATTTGCAGCCAGTAAGCTCCAAACCTTTCGTGAGGAAATTTTGATAAGCCCAAGTGAGGAAATCTTATTCTATTGCGTTTATGATTTGTATTTGATTTGCAGCTTTGCGAATTGCGAGCTACGTTCAATGGTCATCGTTGATAAAAGGTTTGGAGTTTCTTCATTCATTTTTCATACCATGAGCTTCATACACTAAAAAAAAAAACCACAACATTTTAGGTTTTTGTTTTTGGAACATCCTTAACTTGAAATCTTTGACAATTTACAAAAGTGTTTTGAGTAGAATGAAAAAGATACAAAAACGACGGCTTCCTTGAATGTAAACTAACATTTTTGATGTATAAACGCATTTGCAACATCGATTTTTATTGTATGGCTTTGGAGAACTAACCTAATATAGTCTAATGTTTTTCATGTTTAAAATTCACAGTATGTTGGGATCGGACATTTCAGTGACTGATTATCCAGGGAAGATTCCAAAGGGGATTGATCTTCCAAGTGATGCTGTTGTAGAGGATAACATCAAAGCTGAATGATTCATTAAAACCTTTTACATTGTCTTCAAACTTTCTATTTATCCATACACAAACCTCTTCTATTGTTGTATGCAACTCTCTTATTAGTCTTAATACTGAGTTAAAAGATCTTAATGACACTTCGTGACAAACTTGATTTATCTTTACTGAATTGAGCATGAGTAATAAGATTGTTACTAACGTAGATGCTGTGTTTTTGTCAAAAATGATGGGAATATTAAAAAGTAGAACTGTTGTCATCTTCTGTTTGTTTTGAAAATACATATTTCACACTTAAACCCTCGTACAAACGCAACTATCAACTTGAACAAAACCAATACACATGAAAGAAATATACTGTATCTCTCTTTTTATTATAAATATACTTCATAGTAAACCGGCGATTTGTTTTATCTACAAGACTACAACACCACTTACTGCTTCTAGTCTTATAAATGTAAGATTAACCTGAAAATAAACACGACAGATAAATAATCCCATTCAGAGGAAATCTCTGCCTTTTCAGTTCTCCGGCAAGTCCGTATGGATTCTATTTGTCTTGAGAACATCGTGAAAAACAGCAGGTTTCTTGGTAATTGGAGCCAGTTCCTAAAATACCACAATTGATACAAGATCCGTGAAAGATTTTAGACCCGAGAAAAATAAAGAAGAGAGCCCAAAAGCACATCATCGAGGGAGAGAGAGAGAGTACCTCAACTGCAGCAGCTAAACCAAGGACGGTAGCTTCGGCCCAAGGTCTTCCCATTATTTGTAGTCCTATTGGAAGCCCTTCCTTATCATACCCAACCTGCGGTTTTTTTTTCCCATATGTTTATTAGAACGCTGAAATGACTTCTGCAAGACTGAAATAAGTAGACGAATATGACAGGTACAAGTTTGGTTGATATGTACTACTTAGAGACTTTAATAAATATATACGAAATCGCTTACGGGGATAGATATGGCCGGGAAGCCCAAGAGATTTGCAGCTAGAACAAAACGCATTAAATAAGCTGAAAAAAAGAAGCAATCCCATTTTCAGAAGCTGAAGACTCTGATGTGTATTTTTGGTTACACCTGACTACCTGAATAGGACACAGAAAGTAACACCAAAAGTGAAAAAGTTGGGAGTTTCTATTTGACAAACCTGTCACTTGAAAATTGGTTTCTCCATTTTTGAGAGCATCAGGAGGTATCACAGGGGCTGTCATACTGTTTGTACAAGACAACGTTTCACCAACAAAGTAAGACGAAATTTAAGCAGTCACATAGAAGTTATGTATTTTTAGACATTGGAAGCAAATGTTCGTTAATCTTTACTATCGCTAGATTACACATTGGTGGTGCTTCGGGAACGAAAAAGGTTTAATATCAAAGGAGTTCTCTGTTCATGGAATATTTTACGTACGCGGTTGTAGGGGTCACAATAACATCAACGTTTTTGAAGATATCCATGTGATACTCCATTAATCTTCGCCTGCAACAAATAATTTTGTAGAAGCGAGCAGCCTCTATATTGTCAATCATCTGCTCATAAATAATAAGTCCTAGCATTTTACCTGCCAGAAATCAGACTTTATATACAGATACACACTCTTGACGAGTTTTCTGGTCAGAGCATGTGATTTTGTGGGAAATTCATATGTGATA